CAAGCCACAGTCTAGAATTTACAAGCGCTGAGCAGGGCTGTCAAAGATAAAGGCATTTTGAAGGCTTCCATTTGTAGGGATGCCATAAATCAGAAAGGACTTGATGCCACATAATAACTAAAGATCTTCTCCCACTAAGCAGACAAAGCACAATTCCATTATAGGCAAGCCTACTCAGAAGTAAGCCATGTGACACCTCTCATGGCTATAAAATATGGTGCAATTGTACACAGGGTGTTTAAAAGTGAATCATCTTTTAAACAATCTCTTACCTCCTGTCTCTGATTGAGGATAACAGAAGATGCTTGCACTGGGGGAAATCCCTGAAGGCCACATCTGATCCATGAACTGGCAGCTTCCCACCTTGATTATAAATGAACTAAAATAATGCCACATCTTATTGAAATTTTTGGGAGGGCTTGCACCACATGGCAAACCACACTGCAGGACAAGTCACATGGTGTGGCTTGTTTGCCACAAGGGCGTAATGCACCTAAAAGGTAATCAGGTGCATCATGGTTCTTTTGGAACACTGAGTTTCCATTACACTCTACAGCTCCTGCAAGCTTTTTCAGTCTTACCACAGCGCCTCATTACATTTTCTTTCCTTTGGAGATCACAAAAGCTGCCCTTCAGAAGATCTCTGCTTTGTGCAGGCAAAAAATGCCACCTCAGAAGTCCCAGCAGTACCTTGAAGGGCCTACCTGTAAGCACTCCCCTTTTGATTTTCCCCCCACTCTGATTATATGCACTGATCATTGTGCTCATTTTTTAAAACCTGAAGTGTTACTTTTGCACTAATGAAGCAGTTTGCAGTGACTAGGGTAAGTACTGGTACAAATGGGGCATTTTAGGGGCTCCCTCTACTACAGTACCTTGCACAGGCAGCAGTTAAGTATTTCCTCCCTTCTCCCTGAATTGCAAGAACTTGTCAATTTTGACAGGTTAGGCCCAGGGAGCTCCATATAGACCAAGATCATGTTTTGCAGGAATGGGTTCCTTCCACCTTCCCCACAGTGTGACCCCCCTGGCTTTCAGGATAAGATCAGGTGTCCATATCTGCTCCCATTTTGCATGAGTCCCCCCTGCTGCTAGCATGGGAAGAACTGCAGGGGAATCCCAGTACCCACAGTGGAATTCCCACAAAGTGGTGCTGCTTTTTGAGGTACTAGGAACTCGGGGTCAATGGCAACATGGAGGGGATACTTGGGGCTTGTGATTATCCAAAAAACCTCCTGGGATCCTGCCTGGAGGGGTGGGGGAACTGAGGAAGCATCCCTCCCCCCCAATATCCTTTTCAGTTGGATCACTGCTTTTGCTGGGGATTGTGTCCTGGGATACCTACACTTGGAAAAATGAGGGCACACCGGGCCATATAAATATCCCACTCATTCCTGAAGATTCTGCTGCTAAGGATGCTTTCCACCCTCTTTCTCAACCTAGTCCTGAATGGGGTTGCACTCCCTCTTAGGGACAAGGTCCGCAGCTTGGGAGTGCTCCTCGACCCAGAGCTTTCACTGGAAGCTCAGGTGACAGTGGTGGCGAGGAGCGCTTTCCTTCAGCTTCGGATGATCCACCAGCTGCGCCCCTACCTGGAGTACGACTGCCTGGCGACAGTGACACACGCATTGGTGACTTCCCAACTTGACTTCTGCAACGCGCTCTACGTGGGGCTACCCTTGAAGATGGTCCGGATACTTCAATTGGTTCAGAATAGAGCTGCCAGGCTGTTGACGGGGACTGGGCATTATGCTCACATGACTCCAGTCCTCCGTCAGCTTCACCGGCTTCCCATTGAAGTCTGGGCCCAATTCAAGGTGTTGGTGATGACCTATAAAGCCCTAAACGGCTTGGGTCCTGGCTACCTGAAGGAGCGCTTACGTCCATATATGCCCACCCACCCCGAGATCAGCAGGAGAGGCCCTTCTCCGGGAACCCTCTGAGAAGGAAATTAGGAGGATAGGTACTCGGAGGAGGGCTTTATCTGCAGTGGCGCCCAATCTATGGAATGCGCTCCCCAGAGAGGTCCGCCTGGCGCCGTCGTTATTTGTTTTTTGGCACCAGGCGAAGACCTTTTTATTCAAGCGTCATTTTAATTGTTAATGTTATTTTTATTTTAAAGTTTTTTGGCCAGGGTGACTTATTTTATACAGTTATGCGTATTTTATATTGTTATTTATGTATTTTAATTTATTTATTTGTAAGCCACCCCGAGGCTTCGGCGAATGGGGCAGCCTAGAAATTTTCTAAATAAAATAAATAAATAAAATAAAGCACCTCCAAAGTGAACTTTTTTGTGATATCACTTTTTGGAATGTACACATATTAAGAGACAGAATGTATATCTTCCAAAAAGCAACATTACTCAGAGGGAAACCCATGGAACCTATTCTTAGATTATTGCACAGGACTGCAACCTTAGAAGCAATTAACATTTTGCCATGCAAAGGTTTGTTTGCTCTTTTAAAAGGGCTTATTCAATCTTTATTTGCTCCTTCTGACGAACATTTTCCCCACCTCCACCAGTCAACTCTTGAGTAACCTAAATAAACAGGTCTCTGATTTTTGTGAAACTGTATACTTCACAGTTCATTAGCAAAAAATATCAACAAGGCCATCCTTTAAAAAAATATACTGTCAAATTGTCCTCCTCACCTTTCTCAGCTTAATATCACATGCAGAAATACGTTGACACATAGACTTTTCTAACACAGAAAAGTGAGCAAGGTGAGCAAGCCTGAAGCTTCGGACTAGCAGGAACTGGAGACAGCCCTGGATCTGATGGCACTTTGACTCAGTTGACTGTGATTCACATTCAGTTTTACTACAAGGAAGATCCCACAGCACATAAAAAAGCTGAGCTAGAATTAATATTGCTAGTCCAAATGCATCTTATTCCAATACTTCCTAACCCATAATTTAGAAGACTTGTATAAGAATAGCAAGTAACCCATAATTTAGAAGACTTGTATAAGAAGAGCAAGTGAAAAACTTGTGTGCAACATATAAAACAAAACAGAACAGTTGTGCAACATGGACCTATCTAGGGTGATACAGAATTGCAACAGCAACTTTAAAAAGGAGTTCCTTAAGTCACAGTGTCAAAGAATCCACTCAGTTTCCTTTTGCAGGACAGCACAGCCCACAGTTGCATGGTGCGATAGCATCATGATTATAAATAGCAGGACTGTGCCACATACACAAGAGACTCTGCAATTAAGCTTACACATACTGACCCCTCCCTTAGCTTTCCAGGGTCCAGAGATCAAAACCTCTTTAGACATTTAAATGCTTAACTGGCAAGTGAAACCCAGCAGCCTGTAACATTTAGGTTTAAGGAAAAAGCACAGAATAGTAAGCCCCCACCCCGACTCTTTGTAAAATGAGACCAGAATTGGAAACAGTAGCAGTTACAGAATGTTGCATCAGAGGACTTTTACCACATCCCAAGCCAAGGAAAAACATGCCAAATGTATTAGGGAATTCTTTGGAATCAAAGAAGAGAACTGGGAAGCAAAGAATTTCATGATCGTGAAAGATCTGTTGGCCTGACAGTTCCAAAGCAAGGCAGAACTTGCAGTACCTACATCCAGTTCAACAAGTCCAAGCCCACCCTCTTTGCCATGCTTTTATTTATTATATCCTGCCTTTTTTTCCTTCCAAGGAACTCAAGGTGGCTCATGTAATTCTCTCCCTCCTCTCAATCATATCCTCACAACAACAGCCCTGTAAGGTAGGTTCAGCTGAGTGTCTGTGACTGGCCCAAGGTCACCCAGTTAGCTCCATGACTGAGTGGGGACTGGAACCCAGATCTCCTGAGCCCCAGTCCCATGGTCTTAACCACTACACCAGGAAGGTTTCTATTCGTAACAGCATCATTTTGAACTTATTTTTCAAAACCATGCCTGTCTGAATTCAGTGGAACCCACTCCTATTAAAGAGTACATAGGATTGAAACCAAACCAGACTAATTTTGTGTGAGGATTGTCACTGAGTCAGATCAATTTTTCCTCAGAGAGAAAACTCCAAAAGAGAGGCAAGAGAACCACCACTGCAACAGAATGAAAGTCAGCAATATTTAGGAGAGACTTGTTAAGGTGTCACTTTTTCTCTGGGGTTTTCCTCCCCATTGCCTCTAGAACCTGCCCTGATAGCCAAGTCAGGAGGCAGCTCCTAAGCAAAGGGCAAGACAATCCCAAAACCCTTTCTCTATGAAACTACACCATTTACAAAATAATTGCAAGAATCCTGGGCACCTATCCAGCTATTATCCTAGATACCAACTTTTGCTTTACCAGCAGATCAGAAGCATAGCCCAGCAGAAGCAAAGTGAATGAGCAGCTGATCAGGGATGGTGCTGAGGGCAGAAGGATGGGTGGAAAAAGGAAGAACGTCTCCAACCCAAGATGTGCCCCCAGTTTAACAGCAGGGCTGAATCTGAGCACCTGCTTTCTGTTCCGTGCAGGACCTTAGGGCTGAAGTCAAGGGTCCCATTCAGAACGAGCAGCTGGGCCCCCAAACAAAGCAGGGCTGTCTTACCACATTCTGAAGTAAGTGATAGAATGCCATCTAAACTTTGAAGAGTCCCCCCATCGCATTAGACCACTAAATCCAGAGTCTACAATTATGTAGCTGTACCACTAGGTTTGAGGCCAGCACTCAATCACGGAAGAAGAATAGGCAGTAGTACCCCTGGGCATGTAAAACACGCGTTTGTCTTGCCACTGAGGATAGGCAAGGGGAAGGCGCTCTTCGGCCAGGGGCTGCTACTTCCAGGCAGCCTCTCTTTTGTCACAGCTCTGATTTTTTTTCTGTCTAGAAAGAGTACCCCACCCCTCGTGAGGAAGACCCCAGAGGCCTACCTTTTCCATAACATCCCTTTCACAGGGGTGATTTACGACCAGTGACCGAGACAGCTGGGGCAAAGAAGGGGACATGCCACCAAGAAGAACCCACCGCTGTACTTCTGAGACGGAAAAGGAGGAAAGCGAAATGCCTACCTGCTGCTTTTCCTCGGCTCTTCAGAAACAGCCTCATAGATGGATGAATGCACGCGCATGCGCCGCCAGCTCATTTCATCGGCGCCGCCCCCAGAGGCGGTTTCGGCTGTTCTCGAGCTCGGGGGAAAACAATCCACATCGAGGCTCCGCCCAATATCGCCGCAGCCCCTTTAAATCCAACATGGCGAATGCATGGAAGCAGGTCACTTCCCAGAATGCATCTGGACAGATCGGGTCATTTCTGTGGGCGGAGCAGGGTTGGGCGAGGTTCTTTGGTCAGGCGGCAAAAAGGAAGTCAGGCATCTAGTTCAGCCTACGTTAGATGTGCTCGACTTCAGGTCCCATGATCCCTAGCCAACGAGCAGGGTGACTGGGATGATGGGACATATGGAAGAGCATATCGGGAATGAGGCTGAGGGGAAAGAAGGGGTTACCCTTCCGCCTTGCATTCAGTCGTGCATTTTGTTAAACAAGAGGCTTATCTACTTGCCCTATATATCCACTCCCCAACTATTTCTCGCATTTAGCCAAGACAGATGCAACGTGCATCCCTCAATAGCTCCACTTCAACATTCCTCTACTGGGAGAATTTACCATTCATTCATCAGCTACTGATTTATTAGGGAACCGCCCCTCTAATTCCATGACTAACTTTACTCCGGAACTTTTAAAGCAAGGTTCAAAGTACGAAAGGTTAGAAGCAAGAAAAATCATTCGATTTTAATGGGGTTTCTGGGGGTTTGGCAGGCGAGGTAAAGGTAGTTCTGGCTGCTGCAGTACGGCAAAAAATCAAGGTGCAAGTTGCTGTCCGCAGTAGTGCTAAAAGTACTTAATCGCCCATTCCCAAACTTGGGTCCCAAGGTGGTGGTTTTGTACCACAACTCCCATCACCCCCATCCATAGGTCACGCAGACTGAAGATCTGCGTAGTCCGACAGCAGCAGCGAGCCCAAGGGTAGAAAAACTATGTTTGCGCTTTTATCCAAGAATAAAGCTGAACCTGTACGAATAGCTCGGCGCTCTTTTCTACGCTCCTCCCCGAAGGGTGTACGCTTCTTCGCGCATGCTCTGCAGGCGTAAGGACGCCCGAGATAATGAAGAAATAAACGTTGCGGGCCTACTTAAGGTAAGTGGAACGGTGCAGGGGCGAAGTATCCCGTTTCTGGGATTTCATCGGGAATCCTGACGTATAGCCCAACAAAATATTGCTATCCCGGGAGGATATTGCTGGCGGGTATCCCGGCTGATTCCTGTACACTGGAGATCAGTTCTGCAAAATCCTCACGCTGCAATCCCCTGCTGCTTGGTTGCTTATGTCAGGGACACACATCTGTCACTTAGAAGTAATACCTGTTGAGGTGGGTTCAGGTGCCTAGCACAGCAATCCCATTCATGTCTGCTCAGAAGTAAGCCCCACTGAGTTTAGCGGGTTTACTTCCAAGACAGTGTGCATAGGAGTGCAGACGGGTTCCTTGTGATAGAAGTTATCATCATATGCCCTGTTACCTGGGAAAAAGCCCAATTAATTACAGTGAAAGTTACTTCTGAGTTAGCTTCGGATCGTATTCTTCATAGGAGGGAATCTTCCTGCCAGAGTAGGAATGATGCTAAGGTGTTGATTATGACCTATAAAGCCCTAAACGGCTTGGGTCCTGGCTACCTGAACGAGCGCTTATGTCCGTATATGCCCGACCGCCCTTTGAGATCTGCGGGAGAGTCCCTTCTCCGGGAATCCTCCATGAAAGAAATTAGGAGAGTAAGTACCCGGAGGAGGGCTTTCTCTGCGGTGGCGCCCAGCCTATGGAATTCACTCCCCAAAGAGGTCCGCCTGGCACCGTCGTTACTGGTTTTTCGGCGCCAGGTAAAGACCTTTTTATTTAAACATCATTTCAATTGTTAAAACATATGATCTGGCCAGGGCAACTTCTTCTTCCTTCTCTTTCTCCTCCTATATTTTTATTTTATACTGATAATTTTAATTTTATATTTGTAAATCAATGTATTTTTTGTATTTTTATATTTAATGGTAATTTATTATGTACTATTGTATTTCAATGTATTTTATCATGTTGTAAGCCGCCCCGAGGTTTCGGCAAGGGACGGCATAGAAATGTAATAATAATAATAATAAGTAGTAACACAATCATATTCTGCTCTAATGGTGGCATATGAAAATAATGACTTGCAACGCTTATGGGTTTTTTCTCTAAACACGTAGCCTTTCCCAGCCCTGTGCCATTTAGAAGTGTTAGGCTGTAACTCCCACAGTGCCCAACCAGCACATTGATCTGGCACAACCAGGCTGAAAGGCTAATCTGGCAGTCGCATTCTGGTAAAAGCAAAGGGGAGGATGCTAAACATTAAAGATACATTCTTTGCCTTCTCTAATGGACATGTTGTTGCTCCATGCAACTCTTCTAAGGCCCAGCCAGCATGGCCAATGCTTAGGAATTATTGGACTTGTAGGCCCAAACTTCAGGCAGGGCCTTGACTGCATGCATCCATATGCATGTTTACTTAGAAAGTCTAATTCTGTTCAGTAGGGCTCACTCCCAGATAAATGAGGTAAAGGAGTGATTCCGCTATCTCCAGTGTCGCCCCATACCAGCAAGAGATGACCATGTGACTTAAAGTACCTTAATTTGGTACAGATTGTCCCATGAGAACACCCATGCTGGGTCAGACCAATGGTCAGTCCAGCAGTCTGTTCACACCCTGGCTAACCAGTCACCTGCAAGATCCCTCAAGTAGGATGGGTACAAAGTTCTACCTGCTCAAGCCCCTCAGCAACTCTGTGTACAGGCATGCTGCCTCAGATAATAGAGGTAGCACATTGACATCAAGGCTAGTAGCTATGGATAGCCTTCTCCTCCATTTATTTGTCTAATCTATGAGAGGGTGATGTTATTTGGTACGCAGAAGCATGTTCCTTATAGAGCCCTTGCAAGTTGTCTTCTAGAAAAGTGGAATTTGTTCTTGTCCTAAACTGGAGAATAGGATGGAATGAAAAGGCTTTCCCCCAAATTCCTCCTCAGTTCTCTTTCTTGGTGTTGTAATGGGCCTTCCGCAAAATGGTGCCCTCCAAATGTGTTGGCTTTCAACTCCCATCATCCCCGTCCAGAATGGCCAGTGCACCATACTTGCTGGGAATTATTAAGTGGTAGTCCAATGCATCTGGTGAGTGTCAAGTTGGGGAAGACTGGGACAGAGTGTCAACTAGAATTCAAGACACTGTATTTGAATCCTCCTTCTAAGGTGACTCTCACTATTTGACCTTGGGTCCATCTCCATGTCTCACCCTAAACTCTGTTACTGAGTTTCTGGGAGGATAACATAAAATAACCCCCATGAATGTCCCTTAAGTAACCTACCATGTACTCCTTGGAGAAAGGATGTGATAAGTATATAACAAAGTAATCAACACCTGATCCAGTTTGGCTGCTGTTCAATATGTTAATGGCTTTGGCAGAGTCTCTGAGTGGATAGGATTAATGCTTAGTAACACTTGATCATGTGCTCCCTTTTCTCCTCTCTTCAGCAGGGAGGGAGCAAACATTACTGGGTTATGGCTATATCAAACTTGATCCGGACCTTTGGATCACTGTTGCTGTCTTCAAGCCCGCGTCTCTCACAGGTATGTTGACCTCATCCTTTTTTGGCTGAAGATATTAGATACATTCAGGCAGGATTAGGCTGCTTGTTTGTTTATTAAGTGTGTTGTATCCTGCCTTTCTAGTGCCAGTGGAACTGCCCAAAGTAGTTGTGTCCGTGGGTCACAGTGCTACATCCGGGAGCAGGGACAATGTACTTCTGAATGCTAGTTGCTGGGGAACAAAAGCTGTAGTTTTCATGACCTGCTTGTAAGCTTCCCATTGGTTGTCCACTGTGAACACTGGACTACCTAGGACAGGTGTCCTTAACATTTTTGATTTAATGGACACATCTGGAATTTTGAAGGAGTGTCACAATCTTCACAAAATGACTGCTCTGGCAGGCACGACCAGGCACAAAACACACATTTTCCATGAAGCAAACTAAAAGCAAGGTAACTTGTGTTTGGAGCTCCCATGCCTGCTATTTTGAACCCAGTTTTTTGCTCATGCCCTGTTTCAGAGGAAGCAGACTGATGAAGCTAAGAGACAAGTAACCTAACCAAGAAACTGGATACAAGAAGTGTCACCTGAGTCCCAAAAGCTAAAACAAAGGTTTGCTCCCACAAGGCTCAATAAAATTTCCAATTCCCAGCAGAGAAGTGAATGATGCTCAGAGAAACACAAAACATACTGGCAAAACACCCACACAGCACAACTCTACCAACCCCCCCACATGCAAAACACAGGCACGCACATCCTCAAAACACTCCACACACACTTGGCTCAGAGACACACCCTTTTTGCTCCCCATGCCCTGTAGCCCTCCAGGAAGATTGACACTGCCCTGAAAATAAAATATTAGAAGTAATAGAAAAGTATGGAATGAACTCCCCACTGAGGCCTTCCTGGCGCCAACTTACTATCTTTTTGACACCAGATAAAGACTCTCCTCCACTGCAGGGCATTCAAGTAGTCTACTGGAGCCTGCTAGCTGTTAAACAAGTCTCAAGATTGTCTTCAAGTTATTATATTTGGTTTTACACTTTGTATGGTAAACTTTTTATGATGCTTTAATTATGATGTGTTTTTATTGTGCTGCCTTGAACCTCCCAGAGAGCTTTGGCTGCTGGGTGGTATAGAAATTAAATAAAGTAATTGACAGTGACCAGTATCAGCCATGTTGGGCTCCGCCATGACCATAACGTCAAGGGGCTGACTGGGGTCATTTGAAGAGCCTCTGGTTTGAAAAGCACTGAAGTTCGGACCAGGATCCAGACCTAGGTTGTATCGCAGTTTTGCAATTCAGTTCACTTGCCATTGAATGTCAAGGCCACACATGAAAAATATAATAGGCAACAAAAGATTGTGAAAATATATGCTGCATATTCTTTGAATTTAAGAATAAGAAGAGAATTTTCATTTCAGTGATTTGCCTGTGATTTGCTTTCTGTCCTTCCTAGATACCTGTAAAACCAAAGCCCATCTGCCTTACTAGCCAGCTCCGTGCATACCAAGAATCCAGCAGTTCTATTCCATGGACTCGCAATCCAATGTGGAAATGCAGGGTGAAGTACACAGTTAGGCCCATTCCCATGAGAAAGACAGGAGGCCGAGATCACACTGGTATGTTTGAGCTGCAGTTCATCCCATCCTCAACAGCCTCTTTGGGATCTTTCCCAGCTATACTTTCATTTTGGGATTCATAGCCTCAGATATGAAAAACAAGAGCCAACCATTTAAAAATCCTAACTGATTTTAAAATGATGGACATTTGATAAAAGTCAGTTCTTAAGAGAATATAAACAGCAAGTTAAGGTTCTTTTTTTCTTTTGTTTCTAATCGTCAGGTAGCTCTCTTCCATGCACATTTTTATCAACAGCCGTGAGGACTAGAAGCTTGCTTTTGAAAACTGGAAAAATTTAACTCTTTACTTATAGCCAGCCTAATTTCTGTCACATGACATTAGAGGTAGGATGGCTGTCAGTCATCCTTATGTCTATTATTTTTTGTTTACCATTCACTTGACTTATTATATATTATATATTACATTTATACCGCACATTTTAAAATGAAACCCAAAACAGTTTGCATAATTGTGCTTTTCTCCATTTTATCTTCATAAAAATCTTGTGAAGTATGTTAGGCTGAGTCTCCCTGGCCTAAAGCACTTGATGAGTGTCATGGCTGAGTAGGGAGTAGAACCTGGATCTCCTGAGTCCCAGTCCTACGTGCTAACCAATGTATCACATGGCTGTCTAGTAGTTCAAATGGAATATCTGATGTTTCATAAGTGCTGTGTCCACCACAAGGTCGTATCCGAGTCCATGGAATTGGAGGAGGGAGTAAACACAACTATCGTATGATTGATTTCCGAAGACTGCATCACCAAAATGAAGAAACGCCTGCTCCCTTTGAGGAGAAAGTGATACTGGTCCGGTATGATCCATGCAGGTGAGTGACAGGTAGATTTTGTTTAGGGCAGCCTGCAGTGTCTCTCGTATGCAAATTTTAGCTTAATTCTTTGAATACTGGCACTTATACAGCCAGCATGACAACTGCCAGTCTCAAGAGGGAGATCACAGCAGACTTTGGATAATTCCAAGTCTGTACTTGCAGAAGTACAAGTAAAACTCTTCAAGATAACCACCCCACCCCCGCAACCCAGTGAGGAGTGAGCTGGTTCTGTGCCCATAGAATGCTTACCTAGTTCTGAGAAGAAAAGAACCCTGGATGTGGTAGCTGGGAAATGGGATAGATACACACAGATATAAAAATGTAGAGAGAACCCTTTCATTGGCTGAATAGGTCATTTCCTGGTTCACATTGAAGAACTGTTTCTAAATATCCTCAAACATGAAGTGAGAACTGCCCATAGAAATCATTCCAAGATTTTAATGTAGCTGGGAATGGGCATCAAAGTGTCTACTTCTCTTCCGCCCACTCCCCACACACAAAATCTCCCCCCCCCCCCCCCCCCCAAAGCCTGGTAATGACTGACTAAATTGGCAGAGAATGTTGAGTGTTAAGGATAGGATAGCATGTAATACTGGAAACCCTTTCTGAATAGGAGGGAGCACTCTGTGCTGCAACTGTTTGTTGCAGAGTGCAGCTTGCATGGCCTGTTCCTCTCTGATTGTTGGGAGAGGCTGATGACATGAACTGACCATGTCTTACTAGTTTCTCTTCTTGTTGATGGCCAGATCAGCTAACATAGCTCTGGTGGCTGGAGGGCAACGGAAACGCTGGATCATTGCAACAGAAAACATGGCGGAAGGTGACATCATCAGAACCTCAAACGAAATAGGCAGGATGGCTGGTAAGTCCATCATCTGCTATTGAAATGAAATGGAGTGATTCAGGGTGGATTCCCTACCCCACACCCCCAATTTTCTTTGAGATGGGGCAGAGATGGAGCCAATTTCAATGTGGCATCCCAAGCCAAGAGCCAAGGACTTTTTCTCTTGGGAAGTCTCTGGACTGGAGCATCATGCGCAGGGTGGAATTGCTGGACCCCATGGAAGCTCCCTTGAATAGTCAGTAGGAGTGGGCTCTTGAGGCCCACTCTGCCCTCTCCCTCTTTTTCCAAGGGTCATGGGCACAGGTCAGAGAAGGTGCCTTCCATAGGAAGAGGCTGACCTCGGTTAACAGACCTTGCTCAGTGCCAGCCCAAGCAGAGACAGTGGTGTCTGATTAGGGCAGTCCATTTGAGCCAAAGTAGACATGTATCTCATCAGGACTGACTACATGTTTTTTACTTCTGTCGCCTCCTTGCCTTACTCATCTACTTTGCATGGTAGCACCAAGCTTGTGCAAGACCCTTTTTAGCACTTGTTCATCGTTTTAAAAAAGGGCAGATTGTGTTCCCGACAGCAAGATCGCCTCTCCAGTTCTGTATCATGTCTTTTGTTCTGCCTGGTGTTTCTGGGCCATTGTGGGCTTTGGGCATTAATATGGTGGGGATGGTTTTTTGTCTTCCAGTCTTGGCGAAGGAAGGAGATGCATATCCTGTTGGGGCTCTACCAGTCGGGACTCTAATAAACAACTTAGAGAGCCACCCCGGGAAAGGAGCACAGTATATTCGAGCAGCAGGTCAGCATTGGAGGGGAGCTCTGAGGGTCACACTGCTTAATTAGTTGCCTGTTGATACGGTTTTCTGATGCACAGTCTGAATACTATGTTTAGAAAGGAATGACTTGTTCTTTACAGTTAAGACTCTCTCCTTAAATAGATCAATGTAATCTACTGTTGTAACTTCCTTTTATTCAATAAATCCTAAATTAATTGGATAAAAAGATTAACTGATAATTCTAAAGATTTATCCTTCATGAATCTCTCTAAGTCTTGTGTAAAGACATTTTAAGTTTTGGTGGCTACAGCCACATCTTGTGGCAGTGGATTTCATAATGGAACTATTTACTTATGCAATGAAGTCTGTCCTGAATCTCCCACCATTCAGCTTCATGGGATGAGCCCCAGTTGAATATTATCATCAAGGGAGAAAAACATTTATCAGTTCTCTGCACTATGCGTAATTTAATGAATATCATTGTCTGCTCCCAACCATTTGTTTTTCAAGCAATGCCCCTCCCCTGTTGCGGCTGCTGCCTTTCCTTGTTCGGAAAAGTGCTCCAGCTCTTTGCTCAGTTCAGTTATTTTTAAATATACTTTTACAACTCTATAATATCCTTCCAAATTTGGGCAAGGGACTTAGACTACAGTCAGGTCCCCTTTGGACATGGGTGTCCCCAGATGGCCACATCCCTTTCCCCTGACTGCCAGTAAACTGGTACTTTCCTGGGTTTTGCAGTTATTTTTCCTTATTTTCCAAAAGGCTGCAATGTCTCTGCTCAGCCATAATTACTAAGAACTTTTAAGTGGAAATATTCTGGTGTTCTGATATTTTGACTCCTCCCCTTTTGTCTGTAGTACGCCCCTGTGAGTTTCCCCAAAATTGGGCCTGTGGCCTGAATGAAGTTAAGCATCCCCACCTTAAGAAATAATAGGGAAATCACAAGCATCTGGCATCTGCTTTCGCCACCATCAAAATTCTTTCTACTCATCTTTTGCTTGGGAAGCTCTAAAATGGTGAATTTAGCATTTAATGGTGGCAAAGCATCTTTCCCCAAATGTGTTGAATGTCTGTTCCCATCATTCCAGCTAGCAGGGAGATGATGGGAATTGCAACCATCTTCAGAGAGTACAATAAAGACTAAATGAGTCTGTTCAGTTTATGTTGCACAAGAAGTAGCAGTGCCATGAAATGTTGCTGCACTCATTAGCTCTGTTCTGGGAGAGCAGCTGGATTCCAGCAGATTTTCAGGAGTGTGTGGTGAGCGCAGGGCTGAATAGACCCATTTCACAGGGCAGATAATGCTCTGACATGGTCAGTGGATTCAAATACCTGCTAAAACTGTTTGGAAAGGGAGCTATAAGGAGGTAGTATCCTTGCTGCTCCCAGTAATTGTGCCCCTGATGCAAAACATGTTGAAATCCAGATGGTGATGCTGTGTCTTCGCATGCTCTTCCAGGCACATGTGGTGTGTTACTCAGGAAGTTGAATGGAACGGCCATCATACAGTTGCCCTCCAAGAGGCAAATGCAGGTAGGCACTTAAAGTATTACTTGAACCCTCCCTAGAGCTGTTTTCAGCAAACGGCACCTGCCAACTGGCATGGGGCATGCTAGGGTGGGCAGCCTTCCCTAGCCTGGCTCCCTTCCTATATTTGGACCACAACTCCCAGCATTCCTGGCTGGAGCTGGTGGCCCAGAGATATTTGGTGAGCAGCAGGTTGAGGAAAGCTCTGTGGGAATAACAGTGCTGTGGGCTTGTTCTGAAACAGATGTCCAGAACCAGCAACCTTAAACTGAATGTTGAAAGGTGTATAGAATTCATTATGCTACCATGATGCCTTCTGTTATGTGGACTGTACTACATGTCCTCAAGCTACCCTTATATGTAGTTATAGTTAGCTTTGTTTTTTGGTTTTCTGTTTTTGTAAGCCATCCAGAAACTTTTACTATTGGGACAGCATATAAAAACTTTTAATAAATAAATAAAACATGTGGGTGCAGCTCAAGGAAAATTCCAGATGTTTGGAATTCAACTCCCAGCAGACCCTGTCAGCATGGCCAAAGGTCAAGAGTGCTGGGAGCTATAAATCCAAAACTTCTAGAGATATATTTTATGCCCACAGCCTTGATTTTAGAACAGCTAAGCAGGGATGTCATAGATAGGACACTTTGGAAAGCTTTCACTCATAGAGGTGCCATAAACTGGAGATGGCTTGAGGGCACAGAACAGCAACCATTTTCTGCCCACCTCCTGGTGTAGACCCATAAGGATGAGCACCAGATTGCTGGTTTCCAGGATCTGGATGGATAAAATGCATTTTCTCACTTCATCAACTTTTGCATGCTTTCCCCTCACCTCAAAAAAAAATTAAAAAAGCATGGAGAAAAAATGCAAACTGGTTTGAGAGTATGGGGTGGGGGGCAGGGGTTGAAAGAAGAGTGTGAATTGTTTGCTCCTAACATGATCCCAAACCAAATTGCTCTCAGCATCCTGTCTGTCATTTGCAATGAGAGGAACGCTTCCCTGGATGCCAGTGCAAATTTTGTTCCGGCTGCAAATAGCAGGTGCTGCATCCACACACATACACAATTTGGACTGGGAATTTGGCAAGGAACAAGGGTTAGATCTTGAAAGCTTCCACAGTCCTGTTCTCATTTGTGCCCCCACAGCTCCTTCTGCTTATTAAAACAGAAAAACAAAAACTCACCACCTTGCAAGGGCTAGAGATATGAGCAACACGTCTAACTTTATTTTTTTTAAAGATGTCTGTACTATTGTCGTGGCAAAAGAGGCATGTACAAGTAGAATGGGAACGTGTTGCATTTATCTATGAAGCAGAGGTGTACAGATCTTAAGTACTCTGCAAATGCTTGCTTTGTCTGCAAAGTAATAACTTTGGATGTATATATGGGCATTGGCCGGTTCTCACAAAACCTTTAAAATGTGTAGACTTAGGGGGCAAATCTAAACATACATGGTATGAAGTGAGCCCCACTCATTTGGATATTGCATAAGCTGTCAACCTCAGCCTTCTCCCCCCGCTGCCCTTATTCAGTTTGCCCCTTTTCTTTGAGACCAATTTCTAAACATGGAGAAGAACCCAACACAGTTCCTTCTGCGCTGGGAGTGGTGTCAGGGTTCTTTGTCCAGGGTCAGAGCTCCAAGGTCACAGGACCTTAGAGCTGGAGCTCAGAATATTCCTATGGGCCCAAGACCATGTTGGGAAGCCATAGGATTGTGCCCTAAGATGCTTGGCCAAGTATGCTTCTTCTGGGGCTATTTGTTTGTTTATATTTATAACCTGTTTTTCACAATGGGGCTGCAAGGAGCTTACAATAAAAATAGAATACATTTTAAATTGCATTTGAAAAAGGAGAGTAGACCATGTCACAAAGGAAAGACCCAGCTTAAAAGATCGGATAGCAAATAAAAAGGGTCATTAATTGTTAAATACTATGGAAGACAGATGAGAACAGGACAGACTTCTGCCGGTGTATAATAATCACATGAAAATGTCTGGAATGTCCTGTTTCATGGCCTTCCCCACTTTTACAGGTTCTGGAAACTTGCATGTGTACAGTAGGACGGGTTTCCAATGTCGACCACAACAAGCGCATCATTGGGAAGGCTGGCCGGAACCGGTGGTTAGGAAAGCGGCCCAGCAGTGGCTTGTGGCACCGCAAAGGAGGGTGGGCAGGACGCAAGATCAGGCCCCTCCCACCCATGAAAAGCTATGTGAACCTGCCAACAGCATCTTCCCGGAACTGATGTTCTGGCCCTATTTACTCAGGATCCTGTGATTAAAGTCTACCATTTCTGACTTGCAAACATGTTTACATCTTCCTTTTCCTACCACGCTGGCCAAGCTGAATGTGCAATTATGAGAACTGTAGTCTAGTGCACCTGGAGGACACCAGATTGGGGAAGGCTGAACTAAGAATCTTTGTGCAAGAACTAAATCTCACAGGAGGAAACCACTCGTTGCTACACGAGGTGCACATTTACAGCTCAGGCCTGTACACAGTTAGGAGTCCATGCCCAATTAAATCACACTGTTCAGGCAGACATGGTCAACATGAGCTCTCCAGATATTTTGGCCTTGATGAGTTAGAATCCTTTCCAGTTAGGAGACAGCTGGATTCCTGCTTCCTTCTGCAAGAGAAAAGGAGGTAATTGTAAATGACCTGAAGCAATCCATGTTTTTTCTCTCCTGTCTTGCCTGTTTCAGAAAAACAAGATCTTTTGCATTATGCACTCCTGTATTTCCCTATTAAACTGTTTAAAGGCTGACTTGATAATGCTCTGAGCAGGTTTGTGCAGTCAAGAAAGGAAGATGAGATACTGTAGCTTATTCTCCTGCTATGAACACACGGGTGAGGTCCTGCCAAATTACTGTAATTACCCTTGCCAGCGGCAGTATGCTGCATTGGCTCAGCCCAGCAAGAGTTGGGGGCTACAGCCTTCAAATAAGACATGGTTCTGGGGTGCTTTGTAAGCCACCTGCCCCCATACCCTCAAGGGGTTCATGTGGCACGCCAAACAGTGCCTGATGAGGCCAATTAGGTTATTTGTGGGGTAAGAAAATCAGCTATGGTGGCTTGTTTTCCTTCCCCAGTCATGCAAAGCCCGTCAAAGAAAATATATACTCAAGTCTTTTGAGGGCTCTGTAGAATGTCACATTCACAGTTTTCCACTTGCTCGATGGGAGTTCCCCTTCCTGTCCACCTCTCTCCAGCCACCCCATGAAACAGCTCTAGAAATCCCCCCAACCTCTGGAGCAGCTCTGGGGGTGGGGGGTGGGGGGCTAGTGCCTACCATGGATGGGGGAATCTGTTCTGTCAGATGTGTCTGTTCTACTTATGCATGGACTCCATTAGATACATTCCAAAATATTGATTTCATTGTGTATATATTTTATATAAATAAGAATGTTTTCCTCCACCCTAATTTGCTAGGACTGGCCCACGAGCCTTGAAGTAATGGACAACCTCTGCTCCTGAAAGAGCCTCATGCCCCAACATTCTGGGCAGCTCATCCATGTCTATGCTGTATGTCCCACAGTTGGTTTCCAAGAAACTTGGATTACAGGGTAGCATATCCATAGTAGAAAATTGGGTTTCAAGGCAACTTTGAGTGATGTTTCTCATTTTTCAAGATAAGAATTAGGAGCAATTAACATCTCTGTGGCATAAAGGCCTGTATATTAGCACTTGTGATTCTTGAGTTTCTTTTTGCTTGAGTTTCTGTTTCTTTGGGTCTGCCTTAAAATTCTTTCTGGTCTGGGATTAAGGAGTGGTGAGTGGTTTTGTCTAACTGCCATCTTGATTACCCATAGTGCCTCCAATATAATATTCTCTTGGGGCATTGTGGGCAATCACATGGTTAGCCAGCCAGTGGTGCTACTGCCACTGTTTAGTTGGCTGATACCACTGACTGGTAAGGCCAGTGGGGGCCCCTGATTGGCCTTGAATCTCAACCCCACTGTACATGTTCTCCCCACAAGGTGGGAGGATGAAATGTCATGAATGTACCAGTCTGGCTTTTTCAGAAAAAATGAACATCAGCAAATGAGAGCATCCTGACCAGTCAAAAGAGTTCAAGGGAATTAGCATGTTCCATTAGGTAACACTAGACATACCTTGGCTTGGATTCAGGTATGCATACATTGTGGTTTTGAGAGAGATCCTCTTCGTCTGTAAGAATGTGGGAACCATGGTAAATCAGGCCAATAGTCCATCAAGTCCAACATTCTGTTCACGGAGTGGCCATCCTTCTTCACAGTGGAAACCCACAAGCCAGGACATGAGTGCAACAGCACCTCCCTGCCCGTGCTCCCCAACATTTGGTGTTCAGAGGTATGCCATCTCTGATACTGAAGAGATAATGTAGCCATCAAGACTAGGAGCCACTGATCACCTTTTCCTCCACAAATCTGTCCAATCCAATGTGATGGCTTTCAATATCTTTTGTAGAAGTGAATTCCATAGATTAACTGGTGCTTCCTTTTACTTGTCATGAATCTTCTAGAAAACAGGTTTCTGAGATTGACCCTAGGTTCTAGAATTATAAGAAATAGAGAAAAATGTTTCCCTACCTAACTTTTCCACCTCATACATAACTTTGAACACCTCTGTCATGTCTTCCCTTACTTGATTTTTCCCTTAAGTCAAGCAATCCCAGATGTAACCTTTTGGAGTGCTGCCCTGTCTCTTGTTTTAACCATCCTAAAACATTTGACTACATTAGCACACTTGGCTACTTCATTGCTCACTCCTCATTCCTGATCATTTATGAATATGGGTCCCAGTGCAGATCCCCATTGGTCCATGAGGAGAATTTATTGAATTTATTATATTTATAGCCATCTTTTTCCTGCAAGCAACCCAAGGTGTCTCATACAACAGTTCTTTTATCCCCAAAACAGCTCTGTGAAGTAGGCTAAACTGTAAAGCACTGACTGGCCCAAAGTTGCCTGGTGAGCTTCACGGCCAAGTGGGGACAAGAACCCAAATCTGTGGGTTCCAACACTAACCAATATGCCACACTAAATAATTTACCATTTATTCCTGCTGATCCATTTACTGATTCATAAGAGAACATCCCGCTCCCTGTCCCTTATTCCATGACTGCTAAGTTGACTCAGGAGACTTCGGTGAAGGACTTTGCCAAATCCTTTTAGGATTCTGAGTAAACAGTGGATCCCCTTTGTCCACTTTTGACACTCTCAAAGAACTCTGTAAAATAAGAGTCACACATGCCTTTCTGTCTCTGGTTTCTTTCCCATCTACTTTGTAAATACAGATTCTGAGGCAGATGGGGTCTGCTCCCCTTTCAATTGAGTGGCACTGCAGCTGTTACTGCAGGATTTGGGTGAGATTTCAAGAAGGGGCAAGATAATGCCAAGAAGGTTCTTCCTCTCTACTTGATAGTTCCTGGCTCATAAGAGTGGGTGGTTCTGGGGAAAGATTTCTGCCCACTGAACAGGCGGTTAATACTCAGGTGCAATTGAAGATAGATGTATTTAGAAGGAGCTCAGTACATTTTTGGAAATGTTGCATTAGAAAATCACTTCATAAACCAGTGATTGCTGATCATCTGTTTGACAAACACACTATTACAGTTATTTTTAAGTTTAATTATGTCTTGCCCACAGCTTGTGTAATACTAATCTAATGCTAATTACTGTGCAATACTAATCCAAAAATTGTTGTTGCTGTTGTTGTTAGTCATGAAGTCGCGTCCAAACCATCACGGCCCCATGGACAACACTCCTCCAGGCCTTCCTGTCCTCCACCATCTCCCGGAGTCCACATAAGCTCACACCAACTGCTTCAGTGACTCCATCTAGCCACCTCATCCTCTGCCGTCCCCTTCTTTTGCCATCTATTGTTCCCAGCATTAGACTCTTCTCCAGGGAGTCCTTCCTTCTCATTAGGTGGCCAAAGTATTTGAGTTTCCTCTTCAGCATCTGGCCTTCTAAAGAGCAGTCAGGGTTGATCGCCTCTAAGAAATCCAAAAATTACAGTGTGGCAATTGGCTGCTTACCTAGCAATATAACCAGATGTAACTTGAGCAACCCTGTATAGGATTCTGCTGTTTCAGTGTTAGATTTGAATCAATTTGGGGATATAGAAGCTCCTAGGATGAACAATGCACATTTCCTATCTTTTAAAAATTAGCGATATGTGTGGTCAGTGGGCCTTTGTAGAAATGCAGCCTTCCCCACTCTGACATCCTCCAGTTGATTCGGATAACATCCCCCATCATCCGGGGACATCAGGTTGGAGAAGACTGCTGCTGTGAGAATGGGAGCCTATTTTGACTGATACTATTATAACTCCCTCCACCACCTACCCTGCCAGTTATTTTCTTGACCTTCCCAGGGATGGAGGCTGACTGCATGAAGTAGGAGTGAAGTGCTTTTACCACGATGTTCTCCCAAACGTATTAATTCATGTAATTAAATGTAGACAGAATTATTGCAGGTGTAAAGGCCAGGGGCTGTGCCCGAACCAATCTGGCCGCATTTCAGAAACTACTTTCGCGAAATAATAAGTTTGTCTCACGAGGGGTCCCATAGTACATCAAGGGGCGGGCGGAAGAGAGTGGAACATGCGCAGAAAACACGGAAGCGGTGAGGGAGCGGCTGGGCTGGATAAATAAGGGAGAACGCGGCAATGCTTGTCCAAAGCTTTTGCGGGGTTTGAGGCCGCGAGTAAGGTAGGCCCAATCCCGGCGCTTCGGGACTCCGTCGCCTTGCGTATCCCAACGCAACTGGATCTCCCCGTCCTTGTGTTGCGTGTTCGAGAGCGCGCCCGCGCCGTTCGGGTCGGGCCTACGTAGGCCCCGCCCCCGACAGCCGCCTGTTGCGCTCGCGCCTGCCCTCTAACTGGACGGCGCTCTGTGAGCAGTGCTGGTTGAAGAGTTGTTTGGCAGGTGGTTCAGGCTGTCTTGAAGGCTGAATCCCTTTCAACCTAGAGGAAGCGAATCGAGGCCCTCCGGAGGTTTTCCTCTCCACGTGCTTTCATACCTACCCAGTATAGGCATTCGTGGGGTGAAGATGGGAATTCTCGTCCAAAATATTTGGAGGATGCCCTGCTTTTTAATAATCGAATAGGGTTGGTGGAGGTGACCTTCTAGGTTCCCAGCTCCTATCAACCCCAGCCAACATGGCCAGTGATGAGGGAGATGTAATCCAACACTGCTGGAAGGTGTCAGGTTGTGGAAGACAGGTGCTAAAAAGAAATGGGTACTTGCGTACTGGCTCTCATGGTTCCTTAAAAGCTGATATGGCATAAGCTCTTGCAACCTAGCTCTACATCAGATTCAGTAACATGCCATTATAAAGACGTTAGTTTTTAAGATGTTCCAAATTGGTTTATATTTCCCCTTTGCTTTAAGAGACTAATATCGCTACTCCTCTGGGATTTAGCCCAACTGAAATTGTAGTTTTGTGGGCTTTTTAATTGGAAGCTGTCCTGGAAGTCACCCTTTGTGGTAAAATGTGGTAACAATGTAGCCAACAGATGAGGATTGTTGGAGTTGTAGTCCAAAGCATCTGGAGGATACTAGACTGGGGAAGAGAGGATTAAACTTTGCTATGTGCTAAAAAAAATCTTAGCATGAACTAAAAGGGTTTGTTCTCAGAGGAAGAAGCAATGGTTGGTCATCTTCTGAGAATAAGTAGTGAAATAAATTACAGGCTGACAAAGCAATAACTGAGTAGCAAAATTAAATTTTGATCAGTAAATTGGACTATTCAGAAGTCTTTGAATTAGGAAAAAATCTAAAGCAGATAAGGTTCATTTGCAAAAGTAAATTTTCAGCACAAATTAGAAGTTTTGGCCTACAACTTTCATTATCTAATGGGTACTGTAGGTCAAAACATCTGGAAGGCCACAGGTTGCTACCACTGCTGTAGAAAGTGTGAACTTAGCCTCTGTATTTTATTTATATGTAGTAAACAAAGCTTTAAAAAGGATCCCCTGATAGCATGGTAATGGAAAATAAAAATAGGATGCACTATTAATGGCTTCCAACAATTTGGAAGGTAACTCTTGCTGAAAAACTAATACAACATAACTGATCAGAAGGACTTGTCTTAGAAATGTGATTCCTCTTAATTACATATATTAATGTGGGGTCTAGTATAGCCCTATTTTTGGAAAGCTGTCATAACTAATATAGCAAAGAAAGGAAGTTATTATTTTGTGGTTTTAACAGAACTTAAAATATATACTACAAGGATGTGTTCAGGGACAGCAGTCATAAATTATGCACATAATCTGAGATGACTAAGCTTGCATATGTTGATGTTTTTGTTGTATCATTGTTACCTTGCATTTCTCAAATAAATTATATTTTAAAAATTAGCATATCTATTTTATTTAAATTTAAAGCAGAAGGAAAGCCATTGAAAACTTTTGACATTCTAATACATTTTAAGAATCCAAAGAGCTGTCCATGGACATGCTGACCACTGTTTGCTTCTTTTAGCTGTCTTGCAGTAAAGTTCTTGAAGAATCTTCAGTTTTGCTGTTGCTACTTCTTAGTTCCGTTGTACACTGAGGCAGAGATGTATTTCAGTAATCTCTTTATATTCTCCCCCTTATGCTTGCTAAAGATACTCACCTGAAAAGCATTAAGTACAACAACGAAACTGCCAAATTTGTCTAACACTATTTGCAATTGGCATACCTTCATTTTTACTAATGAACTTACAAAACAGAAACTTTTCTCTGGAAAAGCGAAGCACAGAAAAATGTCTGACATCATTGATTCCAATGTAGAATTAGGGTACTTCCAGGTAAGACATTTATCCTGCAACCACCCTGTTTCAAAAATCCTGGTTCAGATGTTGTTGTCTTCCACTTGTAACTCTCCTATGTTTGAGTGCTTTTTATATATTAAAAAATACATTTTTACAATGTATTGTATTTACAATGTATTGAGGAAAACAGAATAGTTGTGCAATGCCTTTTGATTGATAGCGCTACTGGTGCAAAATCTGGAAGCTCTTCTAGGACACAATCCTATGCATATTTAGGCAGAATGTTGGGAATTGTAGGGTTTTTTTCTGGCTAAATGTGGATAGAATGGCACACTGTCCATCCACTGCTGTGTATTACAGTTCACGGACCATGGAATACATTACAGTGGCTTTTGCCCTTGCATTGTGTCTTACCATCAATATCTGTGCCTGCTTTTGTGCAGCTTTGCCTGTGGTTAGAAAATTCAGCGTAACCTTGTAGGTGTGCTTGCATTGAACTGAAGTGACCCAGTGCTTCAGTTGTATGCAAGCGGTAGGACTTGTCAATAGGACTTGATTTGATTCTGTAGATCTTCCTGAATATCTTTGGTCTAACGCAGGTTGTCTGTGTTCCAGATCAAAACATTTCTAGAAGCTGTGAGTATAAGCTTAGTTACAGATACTTAACTTGGTGAGCGTACTCTGAGTGCTAAATGTGTTGACCTTGATGAGGGATCTTCAAAGGCCCACTAGTACTAGAAGCTGCACTGTCCAGGTTGTCATGGATGAGTAGGCAGATGCAGCACAGATCTCGAGCATTTCCCAAGCTGTTTGAACGTGCTCTCTTCCTGAGGATTGCAACTTCCAGAATTCCCAACAAATGTCCCAAACCAAAGCTTCTGCGTATTGCCGCATAGGACTGTCTCACCTGAGATTTCTATAATTTTCCAGGCAAAGATGGATCCAGGGCCATGATGTCCTTGTATCAGCACGTGTATGCTCTGTCATGGTGATTGAGAAACAAAAAGGGAATGTTCCAGTGCTTCTTGGACCTCAGCTCCAAGCCTGTCCTGCAGTGTTAATCCAGCAATGCCATAGTCGCAAGGAGCATATTGACTACTTGATTCACAGCAACATCCCTGGACTGGAGAATGATACAGGAAGCAGCACTGGTGCCTCTTCAACAGAGAGCCAAATGGAGCACATCCAGTTGTGGATGTCGGCGGCAGATGCTTATGCCAATTGCCCATCACCACTAGGCAAGAGGAAGCCCAAGGAGCAACAAGCAGAGAAGAAGACATCCAGTGTATTCCCCTCTGATGTCACCATGGATGAGGCTTCATTGAATGAGATGAAGGCTGATGTGAGGACCTTGGTGCTGCGAGCAACTCGACAAATGGCCAGCCCCACAGTCCCTCAGACATCCATCTTGCACACTATCCATGTGCTTAGTGCCTATGCCAGTATTGGCTCGCTGGTGGGCGTCTTCAAGGAGACAGGGGCCCTCAATATGCTGATGAAGATGTTGTGTCATGAAGAGAAGCAAATCCGCCGCAGTGCTGGCAAGATGCTGAGGGCTCTGGCTTCACATGATGCAGGTGAGGATCCTTGGACAGTCCGAGAGCCTTTTGGGGTGGGGGGTGGGGAATACTCTGAGTTGTTCTGTCCAAGGTTTCATAAACACTTCCAGTTTCTTAGATCAGTTCTCTTGATGTTAGATATGTTTCTTAGATGCATTCTCTTTCACTAAATCAGTCTTTCTGAACCTGGGGACCTCCTGATGTTTTGGACTTCAACTCCCATCTGCCCTAGCCAACATGGCCAATGGTCAGGAACCCTGTGAGTAGTAGAGGAAAACTGCTGGAGGCCACCAAGCTGTATTTAATATTACACTTAAATTTTCTGAGCCAACACCAACCTGATTCTCCTGGTGATGCCCCAGCTTTGTACACAAGATTAGTAAACTTTTTTGGCTCATGCTTGGTTAACCTGCAAAGAAATAGAGAATCTCTGAAGTAAAGTGGAAGGCAGACCATCCACTGTTAGAAGTTCATTCACATTTGATAAAGATACACCTCAAAGTTGCCAAAAGTGATACACTAAACAAAATACAGGCAAATAATTGTTTCAATTACACATTCTATGGAGTCTGTTCACCTTGCTCAAAACAAGTAGGATCAACCTGAACTTTTATAATCACAATTGCATTTCATCATATGGTCATTTTACTGTGCAACCCTATGCCCATTTAGTCACATAGGATTGCTGCTGTAATATGTGATTGCAGCTTTAATGAATTATGACATTCATCCTCTTATAAAATACCCATTCCTAACATCTGCTTTCATTTCTATTATTATCCACATTATAACTTTGGGTGGTCTGATTATAGTTGGTTTGAAATGTCTGATATATGAGAAAGATCGGGATCTTTTTCATTAGCATTACTGAACTACTGAGCAGTTCAGGATGAGGATTGACTGCTCCTTCCATGTTTGTGCTGTGTACATGTGTGTGTGTACATTTATTTATATGCAAGACAGTCCTGCCTCTGTGGGCAGATGGTCAGAAATATCTTCCCAAGAACTGTCTATTTCAACATCATTGACTGCTGCCTGCTATATCACAGTCCTTTCACTTGGAAAGTGCAAAGACTTGGTTCACACATTCACGGCAGTGCACCATAGGTTTTATTTAAGCCTGCTGGATGCCACTGGTGTGTACTGGTGCATGCTGGATAACTTTGTATATTCATGCCATGACTGTGGCTTAGCATATCGCCTGGAAACAGAAGGGTTTGCTATTTGGAAGACTAAACAGCACTTCTTGTTATGTTAGCACATCACCTCTGGCTTAGGTGACCCTGTGAATGAAAGCCCTCCAAAATATCTGGTCCTTCACATTCTTGCTCAGCTCTTGTAAACTCAAAGTGGTGACTTCCTTTATGGAATCAATCCATCTTATAGTTGGTCTTCCTCTTCTTCTTCTGCCTTTGACTTTCCATAGCTTTATTGACTTTTTCAGTGAGTCTTACCTTTGACAGCCTCAGTTTCATCATTTTTGCCTGCTGGGCAAGTTCTGACTTGATTTCATCCAGAACCTGTTTTATTGTCTTTCTCTTGGTTTAGGGTATTTATGAATACCCTAATTATGAATATGAAGCCTTCCTACAGCCCTATGTTTCTGATGCATCAATTTTCTTCCTGACAGCTTGCTTCATTTATCAGCTTTCCCACCCATAAACAGTGATCAGGAATACAATAGTTTGGATGAACTTGGCCTTGGTCTCCAGTGAAGTGTCCTTATAATTGATTACCTTTTCTGTTTCTTTCATTGGGCCCTCCCAAGTCGCTTTTTCCCCTAATTTCTTGGCTGCAGTCTCTCTTTGAATTGATATTCAGCTAAGGCATGCAAAATCTCCACATAACCCTAACACAGTTCATAGACTTGGACAACATTGCAAACTGCAGTAGTGGCCTGAAGAATCAGAGTGGCTTCCTGCCTGTACCACAACTTACCATGGCTTAGGCAAGTCACAGCAGGTTGTCTGATTGTGTGAACCAGGCTTTCTTCAGGAGAAAAGGAATTAACTAAGATCAGCACTAGAAGGGAAGCTGTTAGCCCACACAAATGGAATTGCCTACCTCTGCCTCTCCTGTCTGGTCATCCTGTTTAAATCTGTTTGAAGCACCTTGCTGTGGTTCACATATTAACTGCTCTATGCTTGCTGATGGATTTTAAGTTTGATAGCTCTGTGTGGAAATTAATCCCTCTGCTTGATCTTGTAAGAAGCATCTCTGGCTAGCTCCCTTTGATTTCCTGGCTACTCCTGTATTCCCATGTACATGGCTGTTTGAAAACTGGCTCCCTTCCTGATAGAGAACTGGTGTCCTGAGCTTAAGAGGATTCTGTAAAACAGGTGCAGAGGAAATATTACATCTGTGTCTCTGGTTTTAGGAAGTCGAGCTTATGTTCTCTTGTCCCTGAGCCAGCAGGATGGCATCGAACAACATATGGACTTTGACAGTTGCTATACCCTCCTGGAGCTGTTTGCGGAAACAACATCCTCCAAGGAGCATTGCATGTCCTTTGAAGGCATCCCCCTTCCTCAGGTATTAACTGACCCAGGTGGCTCTGGTTGAGGAGCATGAAACTGTTTTGAGAAGGGTCATCTCCACACTGGGGCTTGGAGGGGCCTTTGAGCGGTGGGTGGGAATGATGGGAAGTGGTCTGGAGAGCTTTATTTTTTTCAACAGAGTAGTGGGAGAGCAAATGGAGGGAAGTGCATGGCTGTATTGATATCCCACTTTTCCATTATCACACTCAAAGTGGCTGACTACATCAGTCTAGCATACAACGATTACTCCATATTATCATCCTGTGTTGGTTTAGAAATCATTTGACCAGTTGTCATAATCTGATGTCCTGCTGCACCTTGATCTGTTGTGGCATTGGCATTGTATATCCACTAGTAAACTTTTGGAGTGCAGGTACCCATCATGACAGTCCCCACAAACATGTCTCCAAGGAGAGTCCAGAAATTCAGGCAGCTCTATTGATCCATAGCAATACATTAGTCTCAGAAGTTTTCATCTCCACCCCAGGGCAGCTCCTTTGGAAAGCAAATGTGTTGCAGTTGCCCATTTAAGAGCAAGCCTGGCCACTCCAGAAAAGTTATACCAGGAAGCAGTATATTACTGCTGAGAAGATCCATCCCCACCTCCTGTGCAAATTGCAGCTAAGCTCAGAGGGAATAGAAAATTCTGAGAGGGAGGTCCAGTTACCTCAGCATCTTGCAAATGAAGTGGTGCCAAGATTGTATCCCAGGGAGGCCTGGTTCCTTTACAGCACTGCAGATATCTCCAGCTGGAATGCCAAATTGAAGGCTGGCCCTCCCCTACTTATGATCAATAATGTCCTGTGACCATAGTAAAGACGAGAGTGTGAGCATAATAGCCTGTGACCATTGCAAGGAAGTGAGGGGTTGTGGAGACTGGATGAGTAACATGGTACTAAGTGAGCTGGCAGCTTGAGTTCAGAGTATATGATATCAGAATGTAGAACATGGAATAATCAATTCAAGTTGTGACAACCCAAATTCAGGCTAGATATCAAGAAAAGTTTCCTCACTGTCAGAGCAATGTGACAGTGGAATCAGCTGCCTTGAGAGGTTGTGGGCAATCCCATACTAGATATATTCAAAAAACTGGAGAGCCATCTGAGTGGGATGGTATAAATTGGTGTCCTACAACAGCAGGGGCTTGGACCCAATGGCCTTCATGGCCCCTTCCAACTCTACTATTCTATGATTCTAGTAGAGGCTGGAGGTTGAGAGGTGGTATGGAGTAAGCTGAGTAGTTTGTGGAGAATGAGAATTAGCATTTTCTGGCACTGAGTGTTATGTTCTTCCCTGTTTCAGATTCCAGGGAAGTTGCTGTTTTCTCTGGTGAAGCGCTACCTGTGTGCCACTTCTCTCATGGACAAACTCACCAGCACTGCAGAGCTGAAAGGTGAGCACCAGTGCTCAGGTGCAGTCTTTGGGGGAAAGAGCAGGATCCAGTGTGAGTTTGACTTCAGCATGGCCATGGCCCACCTCATTTCGGAGCTGATGGAAGTTATGGGCTGGAATAGCAAGGGAGAGCTTCAGTGCCTCAGAACAAAGCAGCCGCGAGTTGGCCAGTCCATCTTCCAGCCTCACGTTCCCTCCTGCAGTACCATCCCGTCCACTGCAGAGCTGTCTGAGAAAAAAACCAGAGGCTTCAAATCGCGCTCAGCCTTCCTCAGTCGCAACAGCTATGCGGAGTATATACAGGAGAAGCTGGCGCGTGGCATGCGTGTGCGCATGTTGGAAGACTATGAGAAGGTCTGTGCCGGAGATGAGGGAGAGTTCCTCCAGAGCACTGATGGCACACCACCTGTCCAGGTACTGCTGAATGGGGGGTGGAGGCAGGGTTTGGGCACCTTGGGGGTGGTGCTTTTTTTGTAATTTGGTCACCTATGTTGGCATCTGTTGTATCAAGACAAGGTTCTGGTCTGGTTATTGATATGGCAGGGGTGTGAACATCTTTCAGCCCGAGAGTCAAACTGAATTCTAGACAAGCTCTCCAGGGTGGTCCTCTGGGGGTAGGCAGGGCAAAGTTAATGTGGGTGAAGCCAAAAATACAAAAAGCCCTGAAATGTGGTAGCTTAAAGCTTCTTGCCACCAGTAACAAAACCGTAGGAGAGGCATTTCATCCTTGTAGAATGGGAAAGAAATTGCAACAAGTCAGTAAACCACCCAATGACTGGTGTTTGGGGGAAGGGCTGTGGCCATCTGGGAACCCACAGTGGCTCCTGAAGAGGTCTCCTGGCCCAGAGATTCCCCACCCCTGGTATATGGGCTGTTTGAGGCTAGATCATCAGACCTCAGTTACATGAAAAATAGACTGAATGCTTTTCTACGTTGCATCCATGTTTCCAGGTTTATTGGGAGTATCTAGGCCGCACATACTGGGTGCATTGGCATATGATTGAGATTGTTGGTTCAGCAAGGCATGCAGAGCAGAAAGCCCAGGAAAAGCTATCCAGTCTCACAGAGACTCTGAGGCAGGACACAGGTAAGCAAGTGCTGGGATGCCGATGCTCATTCCCCTGAGTGCAAGGGCCAGTCTGTGTTCAGTGCCACAGTCTTTGCCGCCGGGCTTTGCTCTTGCTGGTCGCTCCTTGCCTGTAGGCTGGTTTCATCTTGCTTTGTCTCTAGCTTGCTGCTTGAACAGGTGGAACTGGCTGTTGGAAGGGCGTTCCCCATCTCCTTCCCAGTTCTGGGGAGGGATCCTGTACATTCCCTAGAGCTGCCATTTAAAATGATCAGCTGGCAGATGAGATGGTGGAGTTTTTGACTGAGATGCTGGAGAGATGCTGCCAGTCAGAGTAGAGAACACTGAAGTAGTTGGACAAATATTCTGATGTGTAATTAAATTCCTGGTTGTGCTTCCCATTGCCCAGAAGTTAAAAGCACACAGCCAGTATGTTCTGAAGGAAAGGAAGCTGGGACATTGTGTGTCCAGCAATTAGTCTTGGCACTACAGTAGGCATTCTTCCACAGATCTTCAGAAGGTATTCAGGTCCCTTATTAGTGACTGGGCAATAGAGGGAGGTGGCCTTTGCCTTGGTAATCCTATAAACATTTATTCAAATCAGGTTGCACAAAGGAGGATTTTCTTAATCTTTTCCCTGGGTTCAGATAAACTGTTCAAGTGCTACTTAAAACAACTGACATGGTACAGCTTATGCAATTTGGATACATAGACCAGAATAAAAATTATTGTTCCAAGCATCTGTGTTTTCATTTGCTCTGGATTTATTAAGGCTCAGTTCACTGTTTCAGGGTCATAGGTAAGACTTTGTTCCTAAACTTGAGCATCTCATCCAAAATCAGATGATGGTTCTGCCTACTTGACAAATATGGCAAAGACTAGATGTGAAGTACTTACTGAAGTGCTAATTATCATTTCCATTATTTCCTATTTCTCATCATTTCCTTCCTTGCCTACTTTGGTTGTACATTAACACAGCAATGCATTGAGGCAATTAAATAAATCCTCCAGTATACTTCTCAATTTGAATAAGAACCTGCTTCCCTTGGAGTAAGCCCCATGAGTCAAAAGTCTCACTGACTTCTGAATAAACATGTAAAAATTATTAAACTTTTCCTCGGCATTTGAAAAATGGAACTCTCTCCTATTCTCTTGCACCAGAAGGTTCTACAAGGGGATTTCCGCTCTGGGGGCAGCAGCTAAAATGATGCATTTCTTAAAGCCATAAAGCACCCCACTGTGATTTTGGGTATGTTTGCAGCAAATCAGACAGCATATTGTAATCCACTGAGGGGGCTCTATTCCTTGCCATACCTGATGGATCAGGTGGATGAGAATTCTGGGACCCTGAGCCGGGCTGAATGGTGGGAGCTGCTCTTCTTCATTAAGAAGTTAGAACTGCACGAACAACAGGAAGTGGTTCACTACATCCAGCAGAACCACCAAGAACAGGTAAAAGGAACGAGTCTGGCATGAGAAAAGAAAAGAAACGTGACTGTGCTGGATGGACAAAATTGGAATGTCCCCTTCAGTGGTTCTTACCTGCCAAACCACTGTATCCAGGTTTCTGCTCCCTTTCCCTAGTACATGACTTGGTTTTCTTGGTGGAATGGGCTCTGGAGAATTTTCCTACTTCCTGTGTCCTATCTTGGCTGTGGCTGAGCTTGAGAAATGCAGTATTTACTGAGCAATCTGTCTGTTTTATTGATCTTTTCTCTTTCAAGCTGTTGGAACTAGATGAAGAGGGCCTCATCCAGCTGTCCATGTCAGTAGAGTTGGCCCAGCAAGTGCTGCATCTGCTGGACCAGCACTGCCAGGGCTGCACCCGAAACGACCTGCACAGTTCCCACGTCTATCTCAAGTATTCCTTCAGCAAAGGAGCGGCAGAGCAGAGCTGCAAAAACATGGACATGATCTCTGCGAACTGTGGTGGCCCTTCTGAGGCCATGGCGTCCGAAAAGCCCAAGAAAGAGTCACTCTCTGCTGAGGTGCCTTCCCCAGCTTCATCCGGAACAGAGAAAACGGACACGCAGCTGATCAATGAACTCCTCAAAGCAGAAGGCCTTTCCTTCCCAGACACACTGGATGAGAAGGCCAAAGGTAAGTGCTGGATAGTACTGTGAGCTACCTTGTGGTTTAAACTGATAACAATAGGCATGGTCTTTGGAACAAATCAGATCTATTAGCAAAGGCCACTAAAAAAAAGAGATAATTCCCTTCTCCCCATCTCTAATGTTTGTACAGCTTTCCCCTGTGCTGTGTTTCCTACAATGCTCTGCCTTTTGCTGTTTCGATCAATCAATCAATCCTTTGTTCGGTCATTGACCAGCCCATAAACAAAACACAAAATGACAGCTAGTCAAAAAATAAAGAAAAACACAGTGCCAATAAAATTACAATAATCAAGATAAAAAAATAAAAGCATTCTAGTAGAACCTAACAATATTTAGGGTTAATTCTACTGCGTATTGTACAAACTACCGAACATTATTTGGCTGTAGTCAAATTGAATTGATCGGATAAAAGTAACTTAAGATAAAAAGAATCAGAGTTTGCTGTTTGTGTTCCTTATCATTGGCTGCTGGTGGCAACAAAGCAGAATGTTCTGTTGTCACAGCAGAAAGTAAGTTTCATCAGACCTAGGAAAAGGGTAAGAAAAATTACACACACATCTACTGCTTTCTGCAATCGCTGTGAGCTTCCTATCAGGTCTAGGCCGCCCATTTATCCAAAGTGCGTGTGGGTTAGTCAATGAGAGGACAGTGTATGATGCGTCTCCATTCCAAGCTGATAACAACAGAATGGTGAGACAAGCGAGGAGCCGTGTCCTTAAAGGTGCAGCAAAATATTATATGACTATGTTACACAGATTCTGTGTTAGCATAAATTAGGGATGGGCAACTCAAGATCCTCCAGATCTTTGGTTTGCAATTCACATCAACCCTGGCTTTTGTAGCCAGTGGTGAGGAATGAGAGGCCCAAACAGCTGGATGGTCCTAAGTTGCCCAGCCCTGATGTAAATATTATTTGCATAGCTGGGATAGCTAAAATATCAAGTCAGTGTTTGAAAGTTAGTGCTGACATTCTGCCCCTTCCTTCAGGTCTGTATAAAGATGAGGTGAGACTTGCATAACATCAGTGGAAGGCAAGTATATTAGGGCACGGACATGGAGATTAGGCCCTGGAAACACAGTGAGAGATCCTTTGCAGCACTCCTATTTCCTAAAGTGCCAAGGGTGTAATGCAGTGTGTTCTTTAAAACCGTGAGGGCAAAAGGCTTAATCTTCCTGGTTTTTCACCTGCAATGCTGAGAGGGCAAGGCATTAAAAGCCATGACCTGCATTCTTGCCTGTGTAGGCACAAAGGCCCTCCGACAGGAAAGGAAAAGGGAATGCTAAGCAAGGACAGTGGGGTTTGCAGTTTGGGTGCCTGGGGAAGAGCACACAGGTGTGAGGATGCTTCAGTGAATGCAGCTGAAGGCCCCTTGTGGTGATCCTGTTAATCAGGTTTCTGCAGTGTGGAGGTGGCCAGGAAGAAAACTACCTTGGAGCAGTTGGTATATGCCATGGAGATGATCCAGAAGTCCGGTGAGGACACTGAGCTGCAGATGGCTGGTCTCAGATTCATCATCAAGATCTTGGAGGAAAAACCTGAGTGCAAGCAGCAGGAGAAACATGTCATGAAAGCTGAGGATGAACTTGACATTAGGTCTGTTTTGGTGTTGAAGGACCTCTCCTTTCTCCTCCCAACATATGCTCAGGTGCTGAGAGAAATATTGAAGCTTGCTTTATGTCAGCTTAGGCCATGGGTCCATCTAGGTCGAGGCTTTCTACACTGGCCTTCTGTTATCTTTTGCCATCCAGTTGTTGCTGGAACACAGCTCTCATCAGCCTCAGCCAGCATGATCAGTGGTCTGAAATGACTGAAGGTGTCATCCAACACATCCAGAGAAAGGGAAGCTGGGGAAGACTGGGTAGCAGCCTCCCTGCAAGGATTTTCCCCCCATTCCTACTGGGAGCTGTTGGTTTGCCATAAGTCAGAGATGACTTGATGGCTCATAACAGCAACAGCAGCAGCAGTTGGGAGCTGCTGGGCATTCAGTCTAGAACCTTCTGCATCTAGAGTGTGAGCTCCCACTCGGGGGAAGAGCCAAGCAGGAGCAATTGGGCCACGTAAAGTTCTATATTCACTTACGCATTGCAGCCCAGGGTTTATGTTTTAAATACCTGGGCTGCTGTTATATCTGAACTGGACCTAAGTAAACAACCACAACACCCGTTGGGGTGATCCTTTTTGAAAGTGGGAAGCTCCTTGATCCATCTAGCCCAGTATTGTCAACTCTGACTAGCAGTGACTTTCCAGGCTTTCGGTCAAGATTTCCTTCCTAGCCCTACCTGGGGATGCCAGGCATTGAATTTGGGACCAGCTGCATGCAGAGCAGATATTCTGCCACCGAGCTGTGGCCTGTCCCATACAGCACTGTGCAAAGACAAAATCTGCTTGAATTGGAGAAGCCCCCTTCGAGCTACAGGGAGCAAGTTCTCAGTCCTCAGCCATAGCTTGACAAATGTTCAGCAGTCCCAAGAAGCATTTGCTGTCCCTGGGATTATCAGCTGGGCTTGGTCCCAAACAGTGTCTGGAGACAGTTTCCTGTGGTGACTTGCTCCTTTTCTTGTCTGCAGGGAAAAAGTGGTGCAGATGCTGGTGCAGCTGCTGGGCCACCAAGTGGAGGAAAAGCAACTGGCGGTCTTGGTCCTGCAGGTCCTCTATGTGCTGCTGGCCAAGTACGACTGGCGCATTCTCTTTGCCACCAGAGGCGGGCTGCGTCATGTGCTGCGCTGCATGCAGAAGCACTCTGTGTCAGCACCCGTGCAGCAGGCTGGCCTAGCAGTAAGTTGGGAGCAAAGAAGAGGTTTTGCATTTGCAGCAAGAGGAGGAATGGCGAGTACCAGCTTTGGAAGGACTCTTCTCAGGTGGCAGGAAAGAACACGTGTGCTGGCATAGCAGATCACGAAATAAGAAAAGTATTGGAAGTTTAGATTGTTAAATACTGAGTTAAGTTTATTAATATTATTTAATTCAATTTATTTTAAACATGGTTAGCCTCCTTGTTAGGCTGAAGTACCCGTGGTTAAAAATAAATAGCAGACAAGAGAACAAGAAGCTATAAGGACAACTTGGGGAAAAAATGAGTGGGACAAATGAGTCTTCGGGGTCTATTTAATAAAAACATGAAAAAGGAGGCTTTAAGCAAATCTCGGGGGATGAATTCCACAGCTAATGGCCCACCAGTGAACAGGCCTTGTCCATCCCTGATAACCCCCAACTAGTTTGCTTTCATGGGTTGAAATAGCATTTGCAGTGCTTTATTTGAACAAAGCATATGCAAGCCACTTAGGGATAAAAATACTCTGTATAATTCATCAGGAAACCGAATGAGGACTGATCCCAACCTGTGTCCTCTTTTCCCAACTTCCTTCTTTGCCACTCAGCTGCTCTTATCTTTGACTCCTAGGTGTTGAAACTACTGCTTGGTGCTGGGAACTGTGAGCTGCCAGGTGCCTGTAGAAAGCCATACCCTCTGGGCCACTTGGACGCTGAGACAATGCAAGAGAGCTTTGCCAGCATCGGCTCTGCATCCACCATGGATGCAGACCATTTGCTCTGTGCCATCCCTGCTGCAGTTGAGAAGATGCTGGCCACACCTGGGTAAGGCCGGGGACAGGTCCCAGTGAAACCAAGGTGCATTCAGATGTGGGGGCTAAAAGAATTTGGACCCATGGGGAAGACATGGCAGACATGGAAGACTCTTGTTTCTGTTTACTTTCTGGGGTAATGGAGTATTGCATTTTTAGTTATTTATTAGATTTATGTCCTGCTTTTTCCAATGAACTCAAAGCAGCTTACAGAATTCTCCTTCTCCTGCTCTTAACCTCATCCCCACAATAACAACCCTTTGAAGTAGGTTGGGCTGAGAGTCTGTGACTGACCCAGAGTCACCCAGTTGGCTTCATGGTTGAGCAGGGACTAGAATCATGGATATGATACACAACAATAAAAACAACAATAGGAAAATACCACTTTATGTCAAAAAGGCAATGTAACAATCACACAATTAGTAGATCAGAAATGAAAAATCAGAATGATGGATGTCATGAATCTGTCAGTTTCGAGGTCGGCAGGGAACCTTTCAACATTTGTCTGAATAGACTAGAGAGACAGTGCATGTTTTAGTTCTGGCGAGAACTTATTCCAGAAAAACGCCAGTCTTCTTGGATGGACCTTAGCTTTTATTGCAAACCCTCTATCTCAGCCTTGCCCAACCTGCCACACTTTGGATGTGTTGGAGTGGGAATCCACTCGAGGGACCAGAGCCACGCTGGTTGGGGATGAGGGAATTTAGAGTCCAGAGCTTCTGGAGGATCCCAGTCCCATGCTCTGAACCACTACACTGCACTGGCTCTCCCACTGTGGGAACATTCACGGTGCACGAACATGTCTCCTTTCTTCACACTTCCCATGCCACACTTCTACTGTTCCAGACACCTCTGGAGCTGCTGTTGCTGGTTTGGACAGTGCTGTCAGTCCCTGTCTTCCTCCCCAGGGCCTCAAGAGCTGTTCAGAACGGGCTCCTCGTACTCAACAAGCTGATCAGCCACAAGGGACTGGCAGAGCAGCTGGGAAATGGTGACCTCTGCTCAGTCCTGAAGAACTGCTGTTGCTCAGACCAGAGCGCCATCAAGATGCTGGCCTGGATTGTGCTCAGCCGTCTGGCTGATCAGACACTTCCACTGAGCCAGGAGGGGGCAGGTATGGAATCGTGTTCGTTTCCCTTAAAATAGTTCTGTATCCACTGTCATGGATATGATACACAACAATAAAAACAACAATAGGGAAATACCACTTCATGTCAAAAAGGCAATGCAAGTATCACACAATCAGTAGATCAGAAAAGAAAAATCAGAATGATGCATGTTATTAGTCAGTCAGTGCTGAGGTCGGCAGGGAAGCTTTCAACATTTAGAAACAGTGAGTCAGAAGGGGGCTCCCAGACCATCTAGTCTGACCCCTGACTCTAGCTGGCTCCACTCACAACATGCCTACCTTGTGCATGTCTAGCCTATCCTTGAACACCCTCATCGATCGGGCCTCAACCACCTCCCTTGGAAGCCCATTCCATACTCTAGGGGTCCTAACTGTCAGGAAGTACTTCCTGGCATCCAAATTGAACCTTGGTTCCCTGAGCTTTGCTCTGTTGGAGCAGGTCCTGCCTTCCTCTGCAGGGCAGAACAGGTCTCTACCCACCTCCATGTGGCACCCCCTCACATACCTGGATGTCACCAACAGATCCCCTTGGAGTCCTCCTCTTCAGGCTGAAGTGACCCAGTTCCCTCAGTCTCGCCTCATACAGCATCCCCTGCAAACTGGCCACCATCCTTGTGGCCTACCCTGCACTGACTCTAACCTGGCTATATTCTTCCTGTAATGAGGGGCCCAGAACTGAATACAATACTCCAGTTGTGGGTGCACCAGAATCGTATAGAAAGGTAGTAATACCTCTCTCAATCTAGAAGCCACGCTTCTGGCTATGCAACCAAGGGTGGTGTTCGCCCTCTTGACTGCCACATCACACTGCTGACTCAGGTTTAGTCTGCAGTCAACCAGTACCCCGAGATCCCTTTCAATTTGTTGGAATTGACTACAGAGGCAATGCATGTTTTAGTTCTGGTGAGATCTTATTCCAGAAAAATGCTAGTCTTCTTGGCTGGACCTTAGCTTTTAGTGAAAACCTTCTATCTCAGCCTTGCCCAGCCTGCCACCCTGCAGATGTGTTGGATTGGAATCCACCCCAGGGACCGGAACCATGCTGGATGGGGATGAGAGCATTTGGAGTCTGGAGCATCTGGAGGGTGGCCAGGTTGGGAAAGGTTGTTAAATCTGAACTCTGCTTTCTTGTGAGCCTGCAGACCTTTGTGTCCGATGGGATGCCGTCAGGCCTCTCTAAGGTATCCCACATTGGTACTTAATGTTGTGAGCTGCCCCGAGGCTTCGGCGAATGGGGTGGCATAGAAATGTTTTAATAAATAAATAAATTTCTATTTCACTTATCCAAGTGGCAGGACTAAGGATTGTGGGTGGGTAACCAGCACTGCAGCCAACCTGGCTGTGTTTTTAGGAATCAAGGTCTCAGAACTGAAAGAGGTTTCTGAAACACACGCGCATGTCCATGCTTGCTTCAGGGCCACAGCAAAGTTTCAGCAATTTCACCAAGAGCCTCCCTGTTGTTTCCCCTCCCTGTTCAGACCCTTCAGCCTTTTTGCACTTTAAGGGCTTTGATGCTGGAAACCTGCTGGGCAGCCTGCCCGGGAGCAGCCTTTGCAAGGAGGTGGTGGGGGCCCTGGAGCGTGGAGGCCTCTTTGGCAAGAGCACTTTCCCTGATGAAGATGGTTATGAGCTGCTGGTGGATGTGCTTCTGCTCGAAGACCTGACACAGCTGGGCTCGGAGAAGGATGTACAGTTGCATGCCTTAAGGTCAGGTCAGGCTGCGGCACGGGATGGGGGTTCTCTGATGCAAGCTCAATTCCTGGATAGCTTCCGATGCGAAGGGTCTTGAATAGCAGGCCCGGGAACCTCCCCAGCGGTCCTCTCCAGGTGGCTGCCACCCTGATGCGTTGGACTGCAGCTCACAGCCAGCACGTGGGGTTGCCGTCCTGTGCACTGCGACAACACCCAGCCGGGCAAGGCTGCCTTAGAGAGCTGCTGCCAGTCAAGGTTGTCTGTGTAGGGTAGAAGGAGCTTTCAGATCCATAAAAGCCCCAAGCTGGGCAGCTGTCACTCAAGTAGTTTTTGTCAAGCCAGCCAGCCTCAGCCTCCATGGCCAACGGGTGATAATGATGGGAGATGTAATCCGAGACATTCAGCTTTGGCAAAAACTGTACTAAGTTTGGTTGGGGGAATATTGATTGCACACCAGTTCCGAGGTGTGCTTTACAAAATCCCCCCAAAATTGCAAAATTCCCCAAATCAACATTGTGAAGACAATGAATAGTGTGCTCATAATACAAGTTTTACCTGCATGCAGTGCTTGTTATATACTTGCAACTGATTTCTGATTAATTACGGATTCCCAATTAATTACATGTGGCTGGTCTTGTTGGGGCCAGAATACATCATCCCTCCAGGGGTGGGGGTGAGAGAGAGAATCGCCTTCCCCAACCCCCATAGACTACATGTTATCCCGGAGTGGGAAAATTGTGTTGCCTTTCCCACCCCACACTTCAGTTCTGAAGAAAAAGTGCAAAAATGCTTGTGAGCAAATTAAAGACAAAGGCAATTACTAATATAAAGACAATTACAACATCACAACAAGAGAGCAAATATTTGCGAGGCTGCTTCCAACACACATTTGGATATCAAGCTAATAAGCGGCCTGGTCCGGCATTCCAATGCTGGAGTGAGCTACCGCTCTGGTACTTAAGGTGCTTATTTTCAGAACAACTTCTGTTCTAACAAATCTTCTTTCCTCTTTGGTCCAGGCTTTTGCACAAGTGTTTGGATAGTTCCTGGAAGGACGCAGTACCCTGGCACAAGTGTATTGAGCCGTGCTTGTCTTCTGTGAATGCCCACATGAATGACCGAGAGGTAGAGGGGAAGTAGGGGCAGGAAAAGCATGAGGGGAATGGGCAGGGCACAGTCACCTTGGAGTATTTTCCGGAGTGATACAGACTCCAGATCAGCAGCCATATTGGGCATTCTTTGACCAAGATGTCCACAGCCACTCGGGGCCACCTTTGCCTTTTTATTCACCCAAATGTTTTGAGGTCAGGGCTTTTTTCCTGCTAAAAGCATTGGAGCAAGCCATTCATTTGCTAGTTTATCTGCTGTTTTATTAATCTATTGTAAGTGTTATCTTACTCTTTTGACTCTATGATATGCATTTGCCTTCATTTCTTCTGGTATTTGAAATGTGCATATTTATTGCAAGCTGCTTTAGCAATTTGTTTAAAAGAAACAGGGGATAAAGATCTTTTTTTAAAATGAATAATAAATTCAGATTGGAACTTGCAAGTTCATCCCTCTACATAGAAAATGCAAGTTCTACAGAAGCCAGGATTCTAATACGGACATTTTAGTTCTCAAAATCTTCTCTTTTCACAAGTTGCTGTTCAGAACAGAACCCACCCAGAGAGCCATTTTGGCCAATGGTGAGGGATATAAATCTAATGACCAAACAAACAGAGTAGGTGTGGGTATTGCTGGCCTTTCTCTCCTGCTGTCCCCCACCATCGGCCGTGACATCCCACCCTTGCTTTGAAAGGATGCCTTACCGGCATGATGGGGTCCCAGCAAGGATATGAGGAGACCGGCCTGTGCCGAGACACCAGATGAGTGACATGGGTGAGGAGAGGGATGCACTCAGGGCAACACGGAGGACCTCGTTGCTGTGCTGGGCGGACCATGTCACCGCTCCTCTGCCTGCAGGTTGTCCAGGAGGGCATCGGATTCCTGCACTGCCTGGCCGCCCTCGACAAGGACTGTGCGGTGATGATGTGCTGCCTGGGCACCAAGGAAGCCTTGACCAAAGTCCTGGAGAAGCACGGCCCTGGCCTCCCGCAGGTGGCAGAGCTGGAGGACCTCCTGAGCAGCAGTGAGAAATACGCCAGCCTGTACAAGAAGATGACGGCCAGCATCCTGGCTGGCTGCATCCAGGTGAGCCTGGTATCCTTTGTGCAGCATCCAGCAGGCACCCAGGGTGAGCAAGCGGGGGGAGTGGGGCGGGGGGAGTGCCCAGGTCAGCCTTCCCCAACCTGGTGCCCTCCACATACGTTGGACTGCTGGGCAATGTGGGGGATTTTAGTCCCGCCTGGAGGGCACAAGGCTGGCCTATGCCAGATTCTTCTCCCTACTCACATGCCAAGTCTCAGCCCAGATTTGTTTCCTGGAAGTTTGCTCTGCCTTGCTGTGCATTTAGTGCAACTTAATGTTTTGGTTCTCCTTCACTCTCTTTCTCTCCCACTCCTCAATTTACAGATGGTTCTGGATCAGATAGAGGAACATAGGTGGAGTCATCAGCCTATCACTGTCCCATTCTTCAATCTCTTCCTACAAAACCTGTGTCAAGGTGAGCATCCTTTCAGGGCTGGCTTTAGATGCCGCCGCATCTTTTAAGGCTCTGTCCTCTCCTGTCTGGCTGGGATCCTCTCCATGCTTTCTCCTTCACTCAGGGTGCAGCGTGGAAGTCAAGGAGGACAAGTGCTGGCAGAGGGTGGAGGTGTCCTCCAACCCCCAGCAGGCCAGCAAGTTGGTGGATGGAAACCCCAGCACCTACTGGGAGTCAAATGGCAGCTCCTGCTCCCACTACATCAACGTATACATGCATCGCGGGGTGACAGTCCGGTGAGTGCGTACAGCAGTCAGGCAGGCGGTGGCTGGGAGACGAAATCTGGGGCTGGAATTTGATGGGTGGGGGGCTCTCTCTGCCCTTTCTAGGATCGGCTTTCCATGCAAGGAAGGGCTTGGCTCATGCAAAGGGCCTGTTGGATGTAGGTGGTCCCTTCCGCAATTCACCCCATTCAGCGGCAGCTGCTGATTCTCTGTGCAGCATTTCCAGGGAGCTGGAGGGACTCCTGTGGAGAGCAGGAAGGATGTTTGCTTTTGCCTCCCCAGCAGCACGTGGTTAAATCTGTAACCTGTATTGCTTGGGGCTGAAAGGAAGTGGGTGGATTCCTGCCAGCCGACTGGAATGTCTGGGTCTTCCCACAAGGCAAGAGTGGTCCAATTAGTGGTTTCTCGCTCTGTGCTGGGGACCAAGAGCTCGGCTGGATGCTGGGTCGGCCGTAGGGCGAAGATCTGGAGTTCTGGTACAGCCTGCAAGATGCGCACGAGCAGGTCTGTGGGGAAGAAGGCAGCAGTGCCTCCTGCTTCGCAAAGGGATCAGCCCCTCCACACGGGGGCCCCCATTTCACGCCGGAGCCTCGTTCTCTCCCTGTATAGGCAGATGTCCCTCCTGGTGGCCATGGAGGATTCCTGCTACATGCCAGCCCGCATCCTGGTCCTGGGAAGGGAGAGCGCCTCCGGCATCAGCACCAGGCTCAATATGGTCAGTGCTGCAGCCTGCCCCATCATGCCAAATAGGCCTCCAGGGCCAAAAGCCGGGGTGGGGCATGCAGTGTCATCCCGTCATTGCTGGCCTGGCCCTTTACTGTGGTGGCCGGGGCTTGGGGCGGGGGGGGGGGGGGGGGGGGGGGGGGGGGGGGGGGGGGGGGGGGGGGGGGGGGGTTGTAGTCCAACAGAGCTGGAGGCCAGGAATGGGCTTGTTGGAGAGACTCGTGTTCGGCCGCCTCCTGTATGACTTCCAGCCGTTTCTTTCTGTTGCAATATTATTGTTCTTTTAAGTTCTGACATTCCCACTGCCTCGTTTAGATGTTCAGGAAAGCATGCATGGCCTAAAAGCACGAGTTGTTTTGGGCCCTCTTGTCCATCATGCTGGGCAGCCCAGAACAGGGAGTTGGGCAGAAGAACGAACAGGGACTGTGGAGCGGCTGGAGGGCTTTTGCTCGCTGGAAGACACCCAGCTGCAGCCCTGCCGTGAAGCACATCATTTCGTCCTTTGTGTAGAGTCTTGGGAGATGAAGGGGCATTGCAGCTACTAATGCTTTACAAGCCACAGTAGGAGCCATCAGTCCATTTCCTCTGTTCCAGACTTGGCCCTTTCATTTAGCCTCAACATCCCTCTGCTGTGCCTCACTTGGGGGATCATGTGGAAACACTGTGATGGGCACCCCATTCATCCCAGTCTCTCAGCCTCTCACAGTCTCTCCATTTCCTCTCACAGAGGAAGACTTTTGGTTCCTCAAGCCTGAGGAACTGCGAGGAGGGTCTTCCTCAGATCGTAAGCTGCAAAGCCTTGCCAGGGCTTATGCTGGCACTGAGAACCCCCTCCTTGGCCCCTTCTCCCTCTCTGCATGACATGGGAACCTTCCCAGCTGGTAGTTTAGCCTTTGTCCTTTCCTTGCCAAAGGTGTGTGTCCCGCCATCGGCCAGCCGAGTGACCCTCCTGGAGAACATGAGCTGCTTCTGGCCCATCATTCAGATCAAGATCAAACGCTGCCAGCTGGTAAGTGGCTAAACGCTTCAGTGCTGGGCGATGCGGCTGGGCAAGAAGGGCCCCAAGCTGGCCGGCCTGTCGAGTCTCCTGGGGAGGCAGCACACACGCTGCCCAAACAGAGGCGTGCCCCTCTGCCCCCAGCAGCAGCAGCGGCCCTCCATCTTTTGGTAATGGCATCTGTCCCGAGCCATAACATGAATATGATGCAGCCCCCACCCCAGAGAGAGAGGAAACCTCCTAGGAAAAGCCTCTTGCGTTCCTGCCATTCAAGCTTAATTCTGAGAGTGTCCAGGGGAGCTGGCAGGATCTTCAAGTAGCGCATCCTACCTTGCAAGCTTCAGGGAACCAGAGGGGCTCTTCCTGGAGTGCCCCCTTTTAAGCCCCATTTATTTGGCCGACCTAGATACAGGGGCAGGGTCTGGGATCCCCTGGACAAAGCTTGGCGGGGTGGGGTGCTGCCTGCAGCCACAGGCCACTTTTTTTGCCCCCCCAGGTAGTGCAGTGCCTCATGAGCGAGGCCGGTGTCATTCACAGGGCGGCATTGACACGCGAGTGCGTGGCCTCGAGGTGCTGGGGCCCAAGCCCACCTTCTGGCCCGTCTTCAAGGAGCAGCTGTGCCGGCGCACGTACCTCTTCTACACCACCAAGGCGCACACCTGGTGCCAGGAAATCTCTGAAGATCGAATGCAGCTGCTGCAGCTGTTCAGCAGGTCAGGCTTTCCCCCTCCTCTCCCCAGAGCTGCTCTCAGGGAGGGTTTGGAGGAGGGATCCCGGGGCAGAGCAGGACCGGGCAGGATTTGGTCCCCAGTCGGCAGCAGAGAGGGGCCGGTGTGCCCCCGAGGCCCCCTTCTCTGAGAGTCGGCTTTGCCTTGTCCCTCCGCTTCATCTGCATCCCTCACCTTGTCCCTGCCCCTGCCCCTGCCCCGGCACATGCTCCCCCTGTGCATTACTAAGCCCCCCTGCCCACACCCTTTGTGGCTACTGAGGTTTTGCTCAGAACAGTCGTTAACGCCACTCCTCTGCCTCTGCAGGCTGAACAGCGCCTTGCGCCACGAGCAGGTGTTTGCCGACCGCTTCCTTCCCGACGACGAGGCCGCCCAGGCTTTGGGCAAGACCTGCTGGGAGGCGCTGATCACGCCCCTGGTGCAGAGCATCACCTCCCCAGGTACAGGGCCCCTTCCTGCCCAGGGACCGAGGTGGGCAGGCTTGGCCATCCCTCCCGCTTCCCAGCCGCCGCCTTGACTCCTGCCTCTTCCCGCCCTTCCAGATCCCAGCGGCATCAGCCCCCTGTCGTGGCTCCTGAGCCAGTATTTGGAGAACGTGGAGGTTGCCCGGCGCACCAAGAGCCGGGCCGCCGTCTTCAACTCCCGTGTGCGGCGCCTGAGCCACCTGCTGGTCCACGTGGACTCGAGCAGCCCCGAGCCTGAGGACCTGAAGCCCCCTGTCAAATCCAGTGAGTGCCCCCCCGGCTCATGGGGCGGGAGGGGCAGGCACTCCTTCCTGAGTCGAGGGCGGGCGGAGAAGCCGTGCAGGGGAGCCCTTGTGGGCAGAAGGCAGAGCACCAGTCCCCCCGGGGGCTGCGAGGGGCCCGGCTCCTTAGGGAAGGGCTCAGGGTGGTGGCACGCAGGCCTTGTTGTGGGGGGGCCCGGTCGGCGGTGGGAGGGCAGGCGCGGGGTCCTGGTGCCCCCGTTCATGCTGCGTGGCCTGCTTTGCAGATGGGAAGAACGGCAGGAACAAGGAGCTGGGCTCGGGCACTGCCAAGGCCGCGGCGAAGAAGCCCAGCAGCACGACGGGCATCACGCAGTGCTGGAAGGGCGTGGTCCAGCAGCAGGTAGGGTGGCCGGGGGCTGGCGCCCGGCTGGCAGCAGGCGTGCGGGTGCCCTTGCTCCCTGCTGGCCAGGGGAGCATCGCTGCGCGGGCCCCTCTCATCGCGGGGAAGGGAGGGAGAGGGAAGCAAACGGCATCTTGAAACAGTGAGGATTGTGTTCTTTCCCCCTTTTAATGAATGTCAGCAACTTCAAGTTGTCAGCTTGCCATCGCTGAAGTATTCATAGCTTTAACTTAAGCATAGCTGATAGGTGATATTATAACTGAGTTTAATTTCAAATATGAATCCAACATCATTAGCAGGCCTCCTGTTTGATTCGTCTTCATTTAAGCAAATGAAAGAGAAATTGCTTCTTACTTTTCAAGGGCTTGCTTTCAGAAGATTTATCGCTAATAATCCTTTGACTTGAAAGAGAAAAGAGAAAGAAGAACGTCAAGTTCTAAAAACAACACACACACACAGATAGTTTTTAGACTTGGGGAGCCTACCTTATCTGGCTGTCCTGATAATCTGAGCGCATCAGACCCTCTTAGCATGAGCCTGGCCACTTCACCTGTCAGAGCAGTCTCCCGAGGGAGAGGCTGGAGAGGAATGTCTCTTCTCACCCGCATGTCCATGTTGGAGCAAGATAAGATGCCAGGGCACTCCGTGGGTGCTACTTGGCAGACTGCCATTTTCTCGGCCCCGCTGAGCGCGCTGGCCGGGTGTGGGTTCTGGTCCGTTCACGCTGCTCCTGCTGCCCCGCCCAGGTGAAGCGGTTCCTGGAGTCCTCGTGGCAGGCCCCCGACTTCGTGGAGCGCTACTGCAGCACCTACCAGCGCCTGCGCACGGCCATGGAGGAGCTCTTTGGGCAGCAGATGTCCTTCATGCTGGCCCTGTGCCATGGCTTCTCCGGGGGGCTGCTGCAGCTCTCCTTCCTGACGGCCATGCACGTGAGTAAGGGGGCGATCGGGTGGGCGCTGCCCCAGCTCACGGCAGGGAAGGGCTCCTTGACCTGCAACCTGTCAGCCCCAGGTCCCCCCGTCCCTGCCAGTTGTGGGGTGGAGGACGTCAAGTGGAGCTCCATTTCCTGGTGCAGAGCCTCGTCTTGATGCCAGCTCAGTCCGCCTCCCAGTCTGGGCTTCGCGTGTGGGCTCTGCCCCAGGGAAAGGGGCCTCCCTTGGAGGTTGTGTGGCAGACCGTCCGTCCTTCTGCTGGGAGCAGCTCCTCCTGACTGGTTCATCTGGAGCTTGCTGCTCTGCCCTGCAGGTGAGCGAGCAGTTTGCCCGTTACATCGACCGGTGGATTCAAGAGAGCTGGGCGAATTCCGGCAACGTGGAGAGCCTGCAGCGCCTGCAGCAGAGCCTGGAGCCCATCCTCTTCCTGGCAGGCCTCGAGCTGGCCAACACCTTTGAGCACTTCTACCGGTGAGGCCCTCGCGGTGGGGGAGGTGGTGTGGGCCTCTAGCTGGGGGCAAGAGGCAGCCTCCGGCGGGAGCCCCTTGAACAGGGGCGGCAGGCGTCCTGCTGGCACTTCGGGATGGGTGGCGGTTCCCAGGGATGCGCGCTGCTGCGCCTTCTGTGCGCAGGGTGGGTGGCCGTGGCCCTGGGGGGAGCGGTGGTGGGGTGTGGAGCGAGGCGAGCTGGAGCGCTCCCGCTGCGTCACCTCTCCCTGCACTCCTCGCCTCGCCAGGTACTACCTGGGGGACCGGCTGCTGTCCCAGGGCAAGACGTGGCTGGAGACGGCCGTGGTGGAGCACATCGGGCTCTGCTTCCCCAACCGGTTCCCTCAGCAGATGCTGAAGAACCTGAGCGAGCTGGAGCAGCAGCAGCAGCAGTTCCACCTCTTCCAGCTGCAGCAGCTCGACAAGCATCTGCTGGAACTCGATCAGCGTGGAAAACAGGAGGAGGAGGCGGAGGAGGAAGAGGAAGCAGTGGTGAGTGCGGGGGGCAGGAGGATCGCGTCTCCCAGGGCCGGATCGTTCCCCACAAGCCAAAGAGCTCCACATTGCCAGGCATTTTTGCCTTCCCCTTCTGCTCCCTGCTGGTTGGTCTGGCCAGGGGCCTCCAAGGCCAGGAGCCTAATGCTGGTCCCACTCGCAGACGATGGAGGTGGAGCCGTTCCCTCAGGAGGAGGAGGCTGACGTGAAGGTGCTGGCTTTGTCCCCACGCTGCTGGACCATCTCACCGCTCTGCTACCTGGAGGAGCCTGCCCGGTTTTTCCCGCCATCCCTCAGCCAGCACCTGAGCAAGTTTGCAGATTTCTACACCCAGAGTGAGTGTCGAGGTGTCCTTGGGCCTCCCTGGGCCCGGCAGGGCAGGGCAGGGCAGGGCGGTCCCTGCAGGTTTCCCGTGGGCTCAGCTGGGGCAGGGCAGGGCAGGGCGGTCCCTGCAGGTTTCCCGTGGGCTCAGCTGGGGCAGGGCAGGGCAGGGCGGTCCCTGCAGGTTTCCCGTGGGCTCAATTGGGGCAGGGCAGGGCAGGGCAGGGCGGTCCCTGCAAATTTCCCGTGGGCTCAGCTGGGGCAGGGCAGGGCAGGGCAGGGCGGTCCCTGCAGATTTCCCGTGGGCTCAGCTGGGGCAGGGCAGGGCAGGGCAGGGCGGTCCCTGCAGATTTCCCGTGGGCTCAGTTGGGGCAGGGCAGGGCAGGGGCAGACGCCCAGAGACACTGTGCCTGGGGAGTGTCCGCACGTTGCAGATGAGCGGCATCAGGCTTTCGACAGAAGTGACAGAAAAGCTCTGGGAGAGCGTTGCGTCTTTGGGCCAGATTGAATAGCTGAGAGGCAGCAGTGGATTTAAGGAACCCCCCCAGGCAAATAACAAGCCTTGTTGGGCTAGATCCAGGGCGAGAGCTGCAATATCCTGTGCTTTTGAAGAGAGAGGGCAGCCTCGCCCGGGGACTGCAAATGGGCGTCCCTCCTTTGGCCCCTCGCGATCGCTGCCTTGCGAGGAAAGGAGCCGCACACGGTGCCCAGCCGGGCGCTCACAGCCCTCTCCTGGCATCGTGCGCACGGGCGTCCCTGAGACCCTCCTCTCCATCCCTTGCAGGTCAGAGCCGCTTCGGACAAGAGCACACCAAGCCGCGACGTTTGCAGTGGACGTGGCTGGGCCATGCTGAGCTGGAGCACCAGGGCTGCGTCCTGCACGTGTCCACTTTGCAGATGTACATTCTTCTGTGCTTCAACGACGCTGAGGTCCTGACGGCCTCCTCGCTCTCGCTCTCTCTTTGCCAGCCTGGCTTTCTGTGGCTCTGGGGATGGGATCCTTTCCCTTGAAGCAGTTGCCCACGATTAAGTTGAAATTTCTGCACATTAACGGATGAGCGCACATCCCAAGGGTCGGTTGTGCACGAGAGCACAGCCCATGCAATGTGCACCGGATGCGTTCCCACGGGGGCAATATCTGTATTACTCAGATACTCCCACTTTGCTCTTTGGCGTAAAGTTACACAGTTCGGGCCATGGCTGAGGTCGAGGAGTGAGACGCATTTCTGCTCACCGGCCTGTCTTTAGCCAGGGATCGTGCTGGAATCGCCTGAGATTTGGGCCGTGGGTGGCTTCTGGATCATGTTGGCAGGTGTTTTGCAGAGTCGGGCATCCACTGCCCAAAGATTTACTGAGTGCCCGAGAGCCTGAGATCACCTGTTCGGAGATAGCCAGCCTCTCCATCGCCTGCAGCGCCAGGATCTCCGACTGGCCTGCAGGTCGAAGGCTGAAGCTTGAGGCAGCACCCCATGCACAGTGATGGCGTGGAGCTGCACGCTCCTCTTTAGCTCTGCTTCTCTCAGTGTACTCAGCTTCTTTTCCTGCTCCTCTGTTGGCTGTAGGAGGTTTCTGTGGAAGTTCTGTCGCAGGAGACTGGCCTCTCCCCCGTCCTCCTCAGTCACGCATTGAATCCCCTGACGAAAGAGAACGGGATCCTGACCCAGAATCAGAGTAAGTGTGGAGGAACCGCCAGGTAGGGGGTCTTGACCCGGCATGGTGGGCTGGATCCTGACTTTCTGCTTTATCCATGGACCATGCGGTGTGCCAGCTCTGGATGGGGAAGCCGAAGGGGATGTCCCAAGCCAGGCATCTCCAAGAGCGGCTCATTGTGCGGCTTCAGGAAGCCTGAAATGCCTTTGCTGCAGGTAAACGGGCATCTCTGCTTTGGTTCTAGGTGTCCTGAGGCTGAACGAGGTGACGCTGTCTCAGGTGTCGGGCCAGCACCTGTGGCTGTTGCCCAAACAGACATACCTGAATGTGGAGGAGAACGAGGCCAGCGCTCTGGAGAGGAAGAGGAACATCATCTGCTGCCTGCTCATCCAGATCCTGAAAGAGGAGAAGGAGATACACATCGACAGCTTGGTGTTCCGAGTAAGGCGTGTGCGGATGGGGCCTTGCAGCTTCCTCCAGCTGGTAGCCAGAGCAGGGACTAATTCACTCTCTGTGCCTCTCCCAGGTGATGCAGGCCTGCCAGAAACAGGCGCATGGCTGTGCCTTCAGGAACTTGAGCCCCTTCTGCAGCAGCACTGATGTCCTCTCCTGCATCCTGCGCATGGTCAACCAGGGTTCCATCCGGCGCCAGGATGACCACCCAGAGCTCCTGAAGTACCTCTCCACGGAGCTCCCTGCCCCTGCCGAGCCAAAGAACCAGCCTCGAGTTGTGTTTCAGACAATGCAGATCAAAAAGGCGCCCAGCATGCCCTGTGGGGAGAAGAAACATACGTTCTCGACATTTAGGTAGAACTGGCTGCTGCTGTTTGTGGATGCGGAATTGAGCGGGGCTGCCACCACTTTTCAAGACACGGTTCCCTTGTGTGTATGGTGGGCTGTGGGCATCCTACTCTTCCTCCTGCTTTGCACATTATGATTTTGGCAAGAAGCCAAGTACTGCCCCGGGCCTTCTGCTGAGAAAAGAAACTAGCTGTTTGTCACAAGCAGCTACTCCCAGAAGGCGGATCTTGCATGCAGACCAAGCAGCTCCTGCTTCTGTCACCAGCCATAGTCCTCTTAGGCACATTGTGGCTTCTGAGCAACACAAAATTGCAGAAAAAGCAGCCATTGCCTTCCTTGAATGTCTAGGGAGCCTGTAGTTCTAGAACCCAGGCAACTCTGAAAAAGGCAGGTTGCTTACCTGTGACTGCCGTTCCTCAAGTGACCGTCTGTGCATTTACATATTATGGGTGTTGCACCTGCGCAGCGCCTGTTGCCGGGAAGATTTAATAGCATTAATGGGTTTTGGTACGAACTCTGCGCCCTCCCCACCATAGTACATATGGACGGAGTGCCCACCATTTCCCCAGTCAGCTGAAGACCGTCCGTTTGTCCCCAAGTGGAGAAAAGTCGGTATCAAATCCGACTCACAGTTAAGGATAGGAACGAGCCCTTATAAATATCAATCGGAAGTGTGTGTGTGTGTGTGAAGACAAGTATAGTAGACCCCGTCACCGACACCGAGTGGGGCCAGTGGGCAGTTTGTGTGAATACACAGATGGCCACACTTAAGGTAAGCAGTCTGCCTTTCTTCATCGTGGCCTCTGTGCATCACACATTATGGGTGATTAATAAGCTTACCACCCCCGGAGGCGGGATGGTGTCGTCACTGGAGAACTGCAGAAAGAACTGCACAGCCAAAGGAACAGTCCTGTCTGGCCTTGATGTCCAGGTGATAGTGTCTTGTGAAGGTACACAGAGTGGACCATGTGGATACCTTGCAAGGGGATGCTGGCAGAGAGAGCGGAAGCAGCAGCGATAGCCCTTGTGGAGTGTCCCTTTAAAGCATTGGGTAAGTCCAGGTTTGAAAGGCGATAAGCCAGTTCAGTTGTCTCAACGATCCATTTTGAGAGTCTTTGAGTGCTGACTGGTGCTCCCTTGTCATGCTCTGAGTATTTGACAAACAGCCATTTGGTTTTCCTAAATGACTCAGTTCGGGATGGGTAAAAGGCTAAGCATCACCAAATGTCTAAGGGATGCAAAGAGCATTCAATCAGTGTCAGCGGAGTAGGAAAATTGGCTGATAGGACAATATCTTGGTTGATGTGAAAAGGAGTGGCAACCTTGGGCAGAAAGGTGGGATCGGTGCGAAGAACCACTTTTTCTTTCTCAAAGTTAAGGTATGGAGGGTCGACACGAAGAGCACCCAATTCATTACCTCTTCTGGCTGAGGTAATAGCTACTAAAAAAACCTGTTTTTCAAGGGAGAAGGCGTAGATCAGTTGTGGCTAGTGGTTCAAAAGGAAGCTTGGTGAGAGCGTGAAGGATGACGGAGGCTCCATGTTGGTACTACTGATCGGGTCGACAGTGGAGGGTAGGAAACAGTGAACAGAGAAGAATGGACTAGGAAGATGACGACAGAAGGGGGGTATTTATTTTTGTGGGGAGGAGGGGAGGGAAACAATGAGAAAAAAAACGGGGGTGGTTCAGATGGGGTTGTAACTTGGATTGGAGTTAAAGTTGTAAAGTTAAGTAAAGAGAGAAAAAACTTTGTACAGAGTATGGATTTATGGAAGAACGAGAGCCAAAGCGGAAGGCTTGAGGCAGAGCAAATGGCGGGCACTCTGCCCATTTATACTACGGGGTGGGAGGGCGCGGAGTTCCCACCAAAAACCATTAAAGCTATTAAATCTTCCCAGCAACAGGCACTGTGCAGGCGCAGCACCCGAAATGTGTGACGCAGAGAGGCCATGATGAAGAACATCCCCTCTATAATGCATTCCTGCCTTATGCTCAGAGAGTTGAATTGCAGCCATATCTCACCTTCTTAACATGGACTGTCAGGTGGATGGAAAGTGCCCTTCCTGCCATGGGATGTGTCCTTTCGCCATGCCATGAATGTCTCTAGCCTTGGGAAGTGCACCTCTCACCTTTTTCCGCAGTTTCCTCTTGCTGCAGTGCAAGAATAACCTCTTGTTTAAGTGAAAGTTTTGCTATTCCCATCTTCTCTGTAACCCTGCCAAATGTCTTTACAATTTCTCTTCAGGCATGTCAGTAAGAGAAAGCATCCTTTGCGTGCTTTCCTTTTCCTCATCTAGCAACTAGTTCCAGGTGTGATCATGCAAGCTCTTCTTGACTGAAGGGTGGCGTCCAGCAGGGACTGAGAGAACACTAGTGCTTTTCCTTTTACAGCTGCTGACTGGCCTTTGCAAATAAAGGCTGAATCTGTAGCCAGGGATTAGAACCAGAGTGAGATTAGCAAGCGTTGTGCAGTATATGTTTTTCTTAAGTTTAGAAAGGAATACAAAGCATGTATTTTCTCCTAGCAGGGCTTGCTTGCGAGCTGCTCACGGGCAGTACAGATCTCACTGAGACCTTGCTGTCTGCACGCCACCCAAGGAGCACAACCCCAGCTCCTGGATGTTGGCATGTTTTAATCTCCTTGAGAGATGTGCCAGAGAGTAAAACATGACAAGGGGCTGTTCTACCTCATTAGTCTTTCTGCTGCTCCCCTGATAAAACCTTCCTCTAGTGCAGTGACCATCTCCCCATTTTCTTCGTTCCGTCCAAAGATGTCTCCAGTCGGCTAGCCTATCAGTTGCTGAAGGCTGAAGGCCAAATAAAAGCTATTTAGCTGGGATACGTAGCATGGCTTTCTTGAACCACTGCCGCCAGAGTGGTTCAAGATTAGCATTAACCAGGTGGCTTCCTCACTGCAGCAACTGTGCTTGGACTGCCCAATCGGAGAGCTCATGCCGGCAGTGTCCTTCAGTTACTTGGCAAGTGTGGAACTCATGAGGAAAGGGAGAGTCTAAATCCGTGGGGAACTTCATGGCCTTCCAGAATCACATGGTAGTAGGCCTTATCCTTATCTTACCCCAAATTCACAAATAGCAGATTTGGATAAGCAGAGGATGGCTGCGGTCTGCACAAGCAGGAAGCCGCCTCCATATATCTTTCGCCAATTTTTACACTCCCGTAGCCAAGCACTTCAGCAGGGGACTGAGAGAAAGAGAAAACGCTAATCTTTGGACAGGGAGAGACATTATTACTAGAATGTAATCCTTGAAATGAAATGCTTTGAAAAGTACATTTCAGCTGCTTAAAAATGGCTGGGTATGTAGCAGCCCACACAGTCGCTTCTGAGGCAGAATCCAACCCACAGAACCTTTTCCTCTGCACACTTTTTCTTCCAGTTTGGGGATACGGCAGGGATACTTTTCTGTCCGACAATGTGCCAAGCTCAGTGCAGAACAGGAGGGACTGCAAATGGAACTGAGGCAGGGTGTGTGTGTCAGTTCAAAGGCTCAGCGTACCGCTGGCAAGGCACGGTTCTGTTGACAGCCTGTGCAAGAGATGTTTATGCTACCATGGGTCGGTCTCATTGCCTACCTGTGACACTACAAGAACTGAATAAATTGTGTAGATCTGAACACAGAATCATCTTGCAAAGTGTTCTCTCTCTGGTCTGTCCAGCTGTGTATCTGGTCAACACTCAGGTAGCTTTAGAAGACAAACAAGGAGTAAAGAATGGAGAAACAAGTTTCCAGCCTCGGGCAGGAGCGCTTGTGTATATTCTCCTGCAATTGCATTCACATGTCAATGATGCCAATGTTGACAGAAGCAGATGGGCGATGAGGAACAAGATCCGGGACACACACAGCCTTGCTTTGGCTAGCTGCAGTTTTAGCTTGGTTTTTTACTTTTCCTTAACCCCAGCCTCTCCATGGAACCCCTCAGTTTCTGAAATACTCTGCTACAAGACAGGGAGAAAGGCTGGTGTTTGGAGGAAGACCAAGGTGAATGTTCACCCCATTTGTGGAAGGGGTTTCACAGTTCTTTAGACAAAGAAGAGCAGGCTGAAACCTCAAACCATCTCGCAACAAAATCGAGCCAACCCTCTCAAGTCACAATGGTACCAGCATTAATTTATTAAAATTAATCCAGAAAGCAACCTTACATTAACAAAAATAGAATCTTGTAAAAAATGGGGTTAACCCACCATCCCTGCTCTCCTAACCACAAGCAGCTGCGTCCGCCAGGCAGGCGCGATACCACAGTTTAGGTCTCTTGAGTTCGGTAGGAAACACTTGCAAGGCAGGGGAAGTTGGTTTGGCAGTTCTAGTGACACAAGCTCCAGGAAGGCAGGGGATGCCCCACCATGGAGCTGGTGTGGTGGTTGGGGGTTAAAAGAAAGGAAGGGGGCATTTGTGAATCCTGTCCAGGAGGTACCAGTAGCTGCCCCAGAAGGCTTCTCTTAGGACACCTTGCAATTTCTGGCTCTCTCATCTAACTTATTTGTGGCTCTTCTTCAACTGAAGTAGTTAAGGAAACCTCTTCCTGCCTGCACAGACATCCTGCCAGGCATGCGTTCTGCCTCACTAGGCTGCCCCATCCCACACCCCATCAAGCAGTGTGGAAAGGCAGCGCTCAGCCCAACTTGTAGATCAAAGGATCACTCAGACTATCAGGAGAAAGTGCTGCCTTAGAGAGCTCCCTCCAACCAGCTACAAATGGAGTGTATTGAGTTAGAAGCTAGTTCCGTTGCAAGGAAGCACCTGCCCCATCATGTCTTCACTCGCCAGGACAGAGACAGCAGAGCCTGGCCTGCCCCTGGCCTGCCCCACTACCTGCGTGAACAGTAAGTCTCTCCAGAACTTCTAACTCCCTGGCACTGAGGCACCAGCAAATTAAGGAGTGCTGACACCCTGCTGAAGTACATCTTACAGGAACAGAGCATAGCTCCATGCCCCGAGGTACCTTTTTGCCCCGCTCTCCTTGTAACCCTCCTTGCAGGCTGGAATAGACCAAGTGGTGATGAAGCGCTTGCCATCTGCCTGCCCCCTCCACTGCACCTCAGCAAGGTCTTTCCCTTCCCATTCCATTCATTCGAGCTGCTCTACGTTTCTCTCAAAACTGGCTCACTTTGCTTCGGTGTGGGAAAAAGGCCATTCTTTGATCCTTCCCTTTCCTCTGCTGTAACAGAATGACTCTTCTGCTGATTTGTAGCACGTGCTGGACCAAATTCTGCCTTGAACCCGGGCAGCCGTGTGCCTCCTCCCTAGCTCGAGGCCACAGCTGGTGAAGGCTGAGAGGGGAAACAAACTCAGCCGGTAACTTCCTCGAGAAGACCAGGAGAATGAGCAATGCATAAAGCAGCATCTGCAAAAGCAGCAGCTGCTGCAGAAGCCAACACCACGTCCGTCTTGGTTGCCATTTCAGTACCTCATGCTTCATACACTCTGGTCAGCACCTATTCCAAGGGCATGAAAAGCCAAGCAGTGCCAGCCCTGCTCCAGCAGGGAGGGGAGGGGCCAGATAGGAGAGGGGGTGGGCAAGCTTGCTTCATGTTAAAAAAAACCAGGTACCAAGATCCCAGTAGCTCTCTGAATGCTGAGAGAGAGAGCGAGTCGGCAAGAGTGGCACTTGTGGGCAGAGGTCCAGCTTGCCCAGAATGCTGCTGGGTGAGCCCGGCTGAGCAACCCTAGGAGGAGGGTGTTCACACACATTTTTTCCTACTGAAGTGTTAACTGGTAGCAGCTGTACGTCAGAGAGAACCTGCCTTCCCCTTTCTTGCCCAAGCCAGCCAGGCAAGGCATGGAAGGGAACTGAGTCCCAGCTGCCACCGCAAGTTGAAAGCCATTTTGGAGGCTGTATGAATCCCCCCAGCCTCTTTCATTCCTGACCCACTCAAACAGAGAAGACTGGCCTGGCATTCCATGCCCAAGAGTTCAGGTTGAGAAGCCGCGTGTGTGTGTCCCTTCCATCTCCTAGGACCCAAGTTCACGTTAAACTAAAAAATTCATGGGTGAGACGTAAAGCAAATTGAGATGCTCCTTGCACGGAACAGACGGAGCATGCACAGCCCTGGCCAGATTTGGGCTCCAGCCCCAGGCAGGTGGTCTTCAGACATGACGGAGCTGGATCCCCCTTCCTCTATTCTGTCTGGCACAGCCCCAGTCCTTCTGGGCTACCTCTTCTTCTCACACGCCCTTCGTGTAGCCAAAGATGCCAACTGGGAAATGCTTGACATGCGTCGGCCACTGGGCGGCCAGCTGGAAAAACTTCACATCATTCCACTCCACGCCATCAATGCAGACTGCAAGAAAGATGACAGAACAATGCTCAGGCAGGGAGCGGTGCAGGGAGATGCAGCTGCATCACGCAGCTGAACTGGATCTCTGATGGAAGGGCAAAAGACAAGAATGATGCTGTACACGCTACAGAATCTGAGAAACTTCTGTGGTTGTTGCCACAAGAAATTTTAGCCACTCAGAAAGGACAAAAAACATGCCCAAACATTTGTGCACAAGGCTGAAGTGGGTGCTCAGCCCCAATGAACCCCATTTCTGCACCAACAGAAATCCAATTTCAAGGAAAGTGAGTGCTTTTTCTCCACTCATTCCTCAGGCAGATGTGTTCCCCCTCCTCTTTTCTCCTTTTTTACCCTGGAGCACCACAGAAATATACATTCTCTCTCTCTTTCCCCGTCATCCATTCCTTCCTTCCTTCCTTCATGCACGCACGCACCCCTCGTCATTTCCTAAGAATGTCTCTTAACCCCACTGCATACCCAGAGACATTCAGGGGAAAATAAGATGGCACCAGCTGCTGACCCCTTGGGGCATACCAAGAAAAATATCTGTAGACACCACATGGCCTAGTTCAGATGGGAAAGGGTTCTTGTGTGGTGATGCTGGCTGGCATGCAAACTAAACCGAGGCTGTTTTGCAGAGCCATGGTAGACTCCTTTGGAAAGTCATGCAGCAACTCAGCCACAATCGGCCCCACACTTGCAAAGGGGATGAGCTGGCCCACTCACCACGCAACATAGTATTTTGGTGCTTGGCTGTGCAGATCAGACGGGTGATGCCCTCAATCACTTGGCTCTTGGGCTCCAGGTCTTTATCTTTAGGTTTCTTACTCAGGAACATGACTGGCAAAGACAACAATGAGAGAAGTCAACAAAGGCCCCAGCAGTGAAATCTTGTCTGCAGCTGAGCCAGTGCTGGAAAACATTCTAGTCCATTCAACAGTGCATGCGAAGCTAGGTTAGGAATCTGACCACAAAGCTTGTATGTGGTTGATAAAAGAGGCTTGGTGTTCTGTCAATTACCTTTCTTGTTCTTCTCCTTGGTGACCACCGTCATGGCCATGGTGTTTGGTGGGGTCAGCTCCCCAGGGCCAGGGATGCGGCTGACTTGCAAGGAGCGGAAATTGCTTTTCAGGGTGTTCTTGATGCCCGTTTCCCTCTTCTCGGCCTCTTTTCTCTTCTCTGGCCCCTGAGTTGTCCAGTAATCTACCTGCAGGCCCATCACCTCCACACCAGGACTCAGGTTGCTGGGGGAAATGAGAAAAGTAAGTTATAACAAAAAAAGGCTCTGAGCTCAGCTAAGCAAGCAGCAGACTCTCATAATGCTATGTATGTATTCATGTACTGTATGTATGTATGTATGTATATATGTATTTTTGAATTTGTATGCTGCCTACTAATCCAGATGGATTCCCTAGGCAGTTTACAGTAAAATGTTCATGTAGGACTGTACCACTCCCGCATGTAACATGCCATCCACAGACAGTATGTGGCCTTGCAACATCCCAATTTTTTTCCCCAAAGACAAAAAAACACTGAAGCAGCTATGGAGGACTGAAAATGGCAATTTCAGTTTGAAAACAAGATAGACATGTCTGTTTTAGCACTACTGAGTGTGATGCAGCAGTTTGCAATCACATTTTGGTCACAAAGCAAGCAATTTTTCACCTACTCCCAGCGTGGGGGACAAAAACGGCATTCCCGACTGCCATTTCTAGCTGTGACCAACACACACACACAAAGACTGCTGCTGCATTTCACAAGCAAAGGATTCTGGACCCCCTGGCAGGTTGCTCTGGCTCCCCCACACATGGAGTGCTGCAGCTTGGCGGACAACTGCACTGCTTTGCTGTGGTTATGTGCCATCGAGGCACCTCCAACATATGGTGACCCCCTGAATGGAAGCCCTCCGAAATGTCCTTCGCATGACAGCCCTGCTCAGCTCTTCCAAGCCCAAGTCCAAGTCCATGGCTTCCTTTATGGGATCAGTCCTTCTTGTATTGGGTTTTCCTTCCGCTTTTGACTTTCCCTAGTATGGCTTCTGACTGGTAAGTTTTCCCAGAAGTGACTAGATCTCCTGACTGTGCTGCTCATGAACTGGTGGAAATATCCACACAATTGTCCCACCAACAGGGGACTCAAGAGGCAGGAATGTTCCCTTTCCAGAGTGATGTGAATCACAGTTGCACTGGCACAGGCCAGCCGTCAGTGCCCTGGACCAGAATTCTGCTGTGTGGCCCCAAGCCACTGAAAGGTGCTTACCCAGCTCCTGAAAGCCCGCTGCTTACAGATGGAGAAGGGGGAGGGGTGCCCACTGCCTCCTTGGAGTAGGGGACCCCTCCACCAGACGGTGAAGACGAGCTCAGCAGGGAGGTGGTACAGATGGTCACATCATCTGAATCGACTAAGGAAAGAAGAAAAGGTTCTGATTGTAATGGGGGGTTTTGCCAGCAAGTCGTCACTCTCATGGGCCCACCCTGACCACCAACTCTTCCCTGACCCTTGCTTTTACCAGAATGGTTTGTGGAGTGAGCCTTTTGAGGAAGGGTATCCACTCCTGCCTAGAACACATTAGCGCCAAAATTTAAGCCTGCCCAGAACAAACAAGAGCGCCGGCCAGTTTTCCTCCAACAGAGCAGCACCCCGAGTGTTGGGGCCAGCTGCTGGACGTTCATCTCCCCGCCTGTGTGCAGGCACGCTGGCAACCCTCCCCAGTGAAGCCCAAGCACGTGACGGGCCGGGGTGTGCTTCCCATTCCCTTCTGTCCATTAGTCCCTGGCTGACAAAGGAGTGAGTCCCATTAGACGCGCCCCTTGCACCGTCCACATATGTTTGAATCGTGCCAGCACCAGAGATGTGTTCAGCAAACAATCCAGGATCGTGCTTCAAGCCCATTTTCACTATTTCGGAGTTTGAATAGCTGTGGAGGACACTGCAGCATTTTATCATGTGCACCTTCTACCCAGTTTGCTCTCACAAAGCAGCGCCTTGGAGGCGCATCCACCTGGGGAAGCTCCCAGTTGCAAGAATGCAGGTTAGCCTGTTCTGGCCCCAACCCTCTGTGTCCCCGTGTGCCCCGGGTCCACTAGAACAGCCAAGTTGGCTCTGTCTTGGCTCTAGGTCCTTGGAAGACATGACCAGGCAGGTGAGGACACTGCCATGCTGCAAAAGCCTCCAGGGCCCAATTTTGCCACTATCAAAGTCAGTCTCTCACCTGAGGTGTTGAAGGATTGCTCCACGAGTCCCACCTTCACCACCTGCCAAGGTACAAGGGAGGAAAAACACCGCACTCAGCGTCAGGAGAGTTGCCAGGAGCCAACTTTCAACTGCTTCATCACACCCGGATGCCACACCAAATCACAGCTGCGTCTTAAATGGGGCTTTTTGGCTTTTGGCAAGACAGCCTCCTTCAGCTTCCCTTTGCAAGCATTTTGGGGTTTCCCAAGGGATGGTAATCATGGGGAAAGAAGGGTGTCAGAGCTCTTCTTGTAGCTGCTGATGGTCCCATCTCAGCAATACTCACCCCAACAAATGGCACAAATTTCTGGCAGGAATCCTCGTCAGGGCTGTAAAACAGGACAGAGATGAATTACAAGCGGCCAGGGCCCTTGCCTGGGCAGGCAATGGTGACGTGACGCTCATGCCCCCAGCTCTGCCTCCCATCATCCTTTGCCGGCCACATGACCAAAAGCCTCTGGAACGGCACAGGAATAGCTCTACCCACCATCTGTTCCAAGCAGAACGGCCAGCCTTTTGCCGTTTCTGCCGCCGTGTCCGGGTTTGGTCTCAGACATCCCCAGCAAAAGCCTGACATTCTAAACAAGCAGCTGTCACAGAGCCAAGCAATGGTGTCTCTCCCTTGGGATGGGGGAAGGGGAGAGAAAGCAGGATCCGTCCCTCTGTTCCACAGAGCATCACAACCTCCCTGCCACCCAACCCAGGATCACGCTGCGTGGGAAAGTTGGGAGGAGGGGGCAAGGCGCAGATGCAGAAGGGGCTCGAATGGGAAGCGGAATCTCCCCCCCATCCCAATTATTTCCACCATGGGGAACTGACACATGCAGCCAGGAACAGGCAGCAGCCCTCGCCTCACACAAGGCAGACAGGGGAGGAGTTGGTTCTGTTCCTAGACAAAGAGAGGAGACGGACGGACACAGAGGAGAAAAGGCAACACTGCAGCAAGCCACAGTCCAATACCTGATATAAAAATCAAAATAGAGGCTTCTTTTCCTTGAATGCCAAAAACCAAGAAAAGGGAGAGGCATAAGCACTGCTGGAACACAAGCCGTTAAGACACTGGCGCTTGGGGGCAACACACAGTGCCTACCTCACGCAATGCGGCTGGGGCAAGCAGCGTGACTCGGTCCTCAGCACGGGGGGCAGGAGGACTGGCTGGTGGGAGTGGGCCTCTTGCAGTGGGACACCCCTTCCCAAGAGCAAGGGCAGGCCTGTCCCCAAATATGCATAGAGACATGTGTCCAGAAGCCACCAACAGGAAACAGGCCTGTTCCGGAGGGATCCAAGCAGCAGCTTCGCACAGTTCCCAGTTCTGCACTTGCAAACTAGGTGAGAATTTACTTGACATTTGCGTGCCCCCCAGGATGGCTGGCAGCAGCAGGGAAAGGGGGTGCCCTGAAAAATGCACTGGCTCCAGATTTTTTTGGGGGGGGGGGCTTGGAAACAATTCCCTCAGTGCCCCCCCCTTGCCCGTGCCCATTTAACTGCCTTCCACAACAAGAGCCAGCCAAGGCGAGGCAAGAGGGTGAGCAGGGCTTCTGCCCCTGTGCCCTCCTCTCTCCAGGCAGGTGGAGGAGCAGTGCCAAGCAAGGAGCAGCAGCAGGCCGGGGCAGACAGTAGGAAGCCTCCAGAGCGAATGCAGCAAAGGGGACAAACGTATAGGAAGGGATCGCATCGAACTAGTGGCACAAAAGAGGCAGCAAGGCCTCTTCAGGGCAAGCCGCCTGCCTTCCTCCAGACATTAAGGCTTCAAGGGCAGTTTGCAATCAGTCAGCAATCGCAAAATGTGCTGGTGGGGTTCTGCTGAATCTTTCCAGTGTGCAAGTCGCTGTTGCTGTTGCACTACTACACTTGCGCAAGCATAACTTTAGCTGGACTCGTCTGCTGCGCACAGCTCAAAACTCTGTTTCTTCTCCCTGCATACCCTACAGGAATGACACAGCTGGATGCTACCCCAACTCTGAGCAGCCCCAGTCAGCATGGCCAGGGGTCAGCAAATATGGGAAATGTAGTCCGGTAACATCCAGAGGGCCACAGCTTGCCCATTCCTGTATTATATGTGCACACATCATTCCATCTGATCCAGGACATAAAGAAGCCCAATTTTTACAAGGCCTTGGAGAGCCTTTCCTTTCTTTTGTTCTTGGCAGGCCGAGGCAGACAAGCTGCAGCGCTGGCCGTTTGCTTTCCGCTGCACCTTTCCGCTGAAGTGCCGGCAGACTCAGCAGTCTTCACGCACATGGCGCCGCTGTGCAAAGCCCTCTCACTCGAGGTCAGCGATCACTAAATTAGCACCACAGCAGGGAGGGTGGTTTTCACACATTCTGCTTTCAAAGGACATTTTTTCCCCATCAGCAAGGCTTCTGATGAGTCCCTGAGTGCTTGTCCCGGATCTCCTGCACATCACAGAGGATTCAAGGATGTATGCGAGGTGTGCGCTTCGCTTAACTGGGGCACCAGCTGGGCCTGCCAGGCCTCATTCAGTCTCACATTAACTGGATGTGCAGCCAGCACTGCTGATTCGGGGAAGCCAGTCTGCACAGACGGGTGCAGCAGGCGGGGAGATCAAAGTTACCGCCACTCGACTCAGAGTTCTCTCTGAGCTGAGCTGAGCTGAGCTGCTGTCCTTCCTGAAGGAACCGAGTTCTCCCAACAGCAACACACAATTCTCTGTTGCAGTGCAAAGGATTTTGGGGTCACCTGGTCCTGAATGGACAATTAAGACCCCTTTCTACACCTGATGGAGATGCAAATGGCTTGAACAGCTTTGCGAATGCAAATGCCTGTTTTTCTGGACTCTCCTTGGGAGCACGGCTATGCAGACTGCCATGAGGCATGTCTGCATGGCAGGATGCACCACTCCACCGTGGCCAGCACAATGCCAGATGCTTCCTTGTGACCCTGCGCTCTGCCACAGTATGTCCCTCTTGCTGAAGAAAGCATTTGACTGCTGCTGGCATTCCCCACCAGAGTCTGAAAACCTCTGCACTGAAGGAAGGAAGCACTGCAACTCTACGAAGGCCAAAGGCCTACGGTGCGATAGCCCAAGGTTGACGCAATTGTCCACCTGTGATCAATTGGAAGGGTGGAAGGATATGGACTGGAGAGGGAGGAAACGGGTGCCAAAGACAACTCTGCCCAATGCTTTCAGTCTGGAGATTTCTTTTGCCCACATGTGCCATTATTTTACCATGTGGCTACGTTAATTGGACATGCATATTAGCAAATGGAGTATTATTGGTCTGTGAACCCTTAGACCCTTTTTGCTTGCCTGCCCGAACTGTCTCAAATTACAGGACGGGTTCAGCGAAATGCACTGACGATTCATAGCACCACTCTTCTTCCTGGAAATTCGAGTTTCTCTTGGAGTTGCTTGGTGCAACAGTCGGGCCGCCGAAAGATATTTTGTTTCCCCAAGAACCCCAAGCGACGTGCCCCAGGACTGCTCATGTCTTGGACCATGCTCTGGAGAACAACACTCAGCTTACCAAATGCTTCTCCAGGATATTTATTTATTTTGTTTAGATTTGTGTGGAACACCCCATTCCCACAGGCTCTGGGTGGTTTACAAGAGATTAAAAGCAACAATAGTTAAATTTCTATTAAAAACAAGCATATTACATAAATCTCATCTGGGAACTGTTTTTAGTTAGTTAGTTAGTTAGTTAGTTAGTTAGTTAGTTAGTTAGTTAGTTAGTTAGTTAGTTAGATGTTGATTAGGAGTGTTTGTGCTGCTGGGCCCACCGGAGCACAGTATGACCACAGCCTGGCCGCGGACATCCTTCCGGAGATCCCCTGACACCAAGCGACAGGCGTCTCTGCCTCAGTTCCCTGGGTCTCGGCACACCGCCACAGGCCACGTGGCAATGGCGGGAGACGCCTCTACGTGCGTGTGGCAGCTCCGCAAAGCAAACTGCATGCGTGAGTGCCTAGCCCGGCGCCAGGCATTTGGCATCCACAGGCACTGCCGAGGCCTGCACAGCACTGCCTGAAGCTGGAGCCTGAGTGTGGCTGTGGGGGGAAGAGCAGCTGCCCCACAGCGGCTGTGTGCCCAGAGAGAACAGGGCCTGCAGGCCCCTCCTCTCCATCCAGCACCACTGGCAGCCTTTTCCATCCTTTTGTCAGCTCAGGCCAGAAGAACCCATTCAGGGCATGTGCGGAGGCCGTGAGCTGCCACCATCGCTGGAGTGGCAGCCCTGGGACACAGAAGCCAGCTGGCCTTTCTCGCCAGAGCGAGCCCACGGCTTCCATCTTGGTGGTCCGGCAACATGGGCAGCAGCTCCGGGAGCCACTGGCCCTTCTCCTGCGTGGGCCTTGCTGGTCATGTTTTTCTGCCCCATTGCCAAAAGTCAGTGCCGAGCCGAAACAAACGGTCCGCTGGAGACCCTTTCGGGCCGGAGGCAAAAGCTCCGAACAGCCGACTGCTCAGAAGGACTGCGCTCATTTTGCCACCGCTTTGGCTAGTGCCCCCGGCTTTGGAATGATCCGGAAGGACATTCCCCTGCTTGGAGGGCCTGGACATGCCTGGGACGCCTGAGCCTGCCTGCATGGATGAGCGGGGTAGCACTCGACCCAGGAATTGCTCTAGCGAGAAGCAGGGGTTCGCCACGCCGCCCACCAAGAAGCTCCCGCAGGAAGTGCAGCAAGCCCGCCGTACGTACTGTGCGCCAGTCCCCGTTGGCTGTAGGGGCAAGCAGAGAACAGCAGGGCCTGAAGTACCCCACACACCTGAACTGTGGGGGGAGGAAGCACAGAAACAGCACTTGCAATTCCCAAAACCACCAGCTGTGCCCGCCATTTTGCTGGCACCCTGAATAGGACTCTCTTCACCCCAAGAGAGAAGAAGTGCCCATCGGAATGGCTTCCACACAGATGTCCTATGAGCAAACGCGGAAAGCCCACAACCCCTCGAGTCACCACGGAAAAGCTGCCCATGGAAGCAGGATGGCCCCCAGCCCACCACCCCTAGAAACGTGGAGACCACACAGGGTGGGCAACCACAAGACAGATGACGGGGGTCCCAAGTGGATGCTTCTCTTGCTGAGCGACACGGGGTGGCCGGGAGAGGGGGAGTGGAAAAAGAAGAAAAGGACGAAGAAAGGGGGCGAGGACTGGCCTCCGCTTACCTCTTCTGCTTGTAGGTCAACATGGCTTCAGAAATGGGCAGCTGATGGGACACGTTGGCGCCTGTGATGAACTGGGAAACTCGGCCAGGAACATCCACGGTGTCTGGAGGGAGACAATCGGAAAGGCTTGATGACATGGAGCCTTGAAGAGGCTTCAGCCAGGGCTCCTCCTCATGAGTCACTGTGCTGGGGGATCACGTGTCTTCCAGAGCTCTTACCTGAACTTGGGGGCTCAACTCTGCTGAAGAGCTCTCTCCAGGCAGCATCAAGGAACAAGGCGCTGTACCTGTTATCCACAGAGCCAAGGTACTTGGCCAGGGGGTGGGAGCCTGGGAAAGGCACAGGAAACGGAAGCGCTTGAACTGGGGGCGGGGGAGGAGGTGGAGAAGACAAGCAAAGGCAAGCTTCCCACCCTCTCCCTTTGAAGCAGGGCAGAGTCACGTGCCTGCACGGCAAATCCTGCTCTGATTGGCTCACGCCTGCCCTCCCCAGAACACCTCCCCTCCCCAAACTGGCTTGAAATGGCTGAAGAGGCAGTCCTGCGGATGGCAGCCCCAGCTGAGAAAATGCCACGGCCTTTTGGCAGCACCAAGCACCCCTTCCGTGGCGAAGGCTCTTACCCAAGGGCACCACGAGAAAACGGACATAGTTCAGCCAGTCCGGGGTCTTGCTGGCGAGCTGCTCCACAAAGAAGCGCAGGACGATGCTCAAGTAGCTCTGGTCGCCGGCCACGGCCACTTTCACTGGTGGAGGCATGTGGGAATTACAGTTACAGCTGCCGGAAGAAGAGCAGATTCTAGAGTGGCTCCAGAACAGCAAGGCTGAGGTACACGCCCCACTGTGATCCAGCTGCTATCGCACCTCTAACCCAGAGGATTCCCAAGGGGCCAAACTCTTCTCATCCCCCGGTTAGTGCAGTCCTGAGCTCTGCTGGCTGGGGATGGGGGCTGAAGTCCAGGACATCTGCAGAGAGCTGGGCCAGGGAAAGCTAGGCTTAAACCAGGGATGGGAATATGTGGTCCCCACAGCTCTTCTTGGACTGCGATTCCTGGTGGCCTTCATCACTGACCATGTTGCTTGAGAGAGATGGAAGCATCACTGAAGGCCACGCATCTCCCACCCTGGTTTTGTCCAGCTCGCCCGAGCCTGGGGCCTTCCAGGTACCCCTGAGCATTGACCACGCTGGGCTGGTGGGAGCTGCAACTCAAAGAGAAACCTCCCGTTCCTGAGGGTGAGACCAGGGGCCATCCTGTTCTGTGTACACCCAACCCCAACGCCCTTCCACCCTGGTTAGCCTGGGAAGCCTCTGCACGGCGCTTGCCCCCAGCCCCGCAGCTGCCTGCCAGGGCGTACTTACTATCGCTGGATGCGAGCAACGATCGTATTAAAGGCAGCCTGGACATCTGCCACGGAGCAGGTGGAGACGATGGGCTGTTTGTGTTCTTGGAGCTGATCGCACAGATACTGCCAGCATAAGAACATAAAGATCTGTGTTTGTATGTGCAGCACAGAATAGATTAAAAGAGCTATGCTGGATCAGACCAAAACCCTATTTATTCCTGCACTCTTTGCCAATCAGATGCCAATGGGACACCGACAAGCAGGCCATGAACAGTCGCCTTTGCCTTCTGTTGCTTTCCCCCCAGTATCAAGAGACACAGTTTCCCCAAAACAGTTGGCAATGTACCTCCATGAGCTTCTCTCCTCCCCACTGAAAGCAATGAAGCTTGGCACCTCTCACAGCTTCTTGCAGAATCCCATGGATTCAGGAACGCAGTCAGGCAATCTTAGTCTTTGGCCCTGTGGTCTTGCCAGATCCTCTTTAGTGAGCAATGCTTATCATGTCCCTTTCATTAAAGTGTGGTAGGTAAGCCAGCTCTGCTGCATTTGCACGCCCCCATCATTCTGCTGAGCAGGACTTAGACTCTGCCCCCAGATCCTCTCTGGGCAGAACCGCTTATCGATAGCTGTGTGCAATTCTGCAGCAGCATTTGCCCTGGCCTGGCTAGTTTCTCTGAGCCGTGGTGTGGAGAAAGTGAACCACAAGACGACTAGAATCCTGGCTTGGTCATATAGGTCGGAGATTGAGAACATATGAAAGGAAGGACTTCCTTGCACAGCACAGAGTTAAGCTATGGGATTTGCTTCTCCCAGATGTTGTGATGGCCACCGAGGTCTCCCAAATGGAGCACTCCTAGCACTATCATTCTGCAAGCCCCTCACAGCTATGCTATCTGTTTCTTTCTCCACAGGTCTTCCACAGCAAAAAAGAAGACCAAAGGAATGTAGGGAAATATGGGAGAGTTTTGTGAGTAAAGCCACAGTGGCACAGAATGCCCTCAACCCTAGCAGATGCAGTCAGAGCTTCACCTGGAGGTTCCTGTACATGGCTTCAAAAGAGGGCCAGGCAAAGTCATGGAAGGCAAAGCTCTGGCTGGCTGTCCCCAAGATCAGAGGTGCCATGCCCCTGACCAGAAGCCCAGGAGGGTTGCCGCTGCCGGATCCCACTTGTGGGCTTCTCAGTGACATCCTGCTGGCCCATCTGGGAAGCAGGATGCTGGACGACGTCGGTCTTTGGTCTGATCCCAGTGGGAGACTTTGCTGTTCTTTGGGAGGCTGTCCTGGAAGTGCCATTTTTCTGCAGGGGATTGGGTTTGATCAGCCTTCCCCAGCTTGGTGCCCTCCAGGTGTGCTGGACTGCAGTTCCCATCGTTCCCCAGCCCCTTGGTCAAAGTCTGCACCAAGTGGGAGGAGGGCTGGACGAGATGCACCGCACAGGCCCTCCCTCGCCCAGGCGCCTCACCTGGCCTTGCCACTCACTGATGTTCACCAGGATGATGCTCTCTGGCAGCTGTTCATCTGAGACCAAGATCTGGTTGAGCTGGTCATACACAGACTTCCGAGGCACCTGCAGCGGTGGCCAAGCAAAGCAGCCTTCAGGTCTGCTGCAGGCAACTGGCCCCATCCCAGGCCTGTGCAAAGACCCAAGGATCACCGAGGCCAGAGGCCCCCCAGCCCGTTGCAAGTCTGGGGGTTGCCAACCCCTGCCCCATGTGGCCTCGCCACTCTGCCCCGCCACCACTTCCAGGAGAATCAAGCTGCTGCCCAGGACAAACCCTTGCTCTCCCCAGGAGCCACCTGCCTGCCTGTCCGCCCGCAGACAGACCTGGGTGTTCTGCCGTGAGTCTGGGGAGCTCTCACTGTCCAGGCTGCCGGTTCGGTCGCTGTGGCCCTTGGAGTTCTGCCTGTCCTTGACGGACATGCTGCGGGGCCGCCAGAGCTGCTTGTTCTCGGCTTTGCTGAAAGATGAGGAGTGGCCATCAGAAAAGCTCTGCAGGGGGCTGGATGCGGGGATGCGAGAGGAAGGGCTTCGACGGACTGCCAAGCAGCCACCTCTGGCTAGAGCAGTGGCAGGCCAGGGCAGGACCACCGGGCCCAGGGCCCGTGCAGGGGCCTGGCCCTTTGGGGGGCAGTGAAAAGAGTCCCTGGTCACCATGGAGAGCCACTGCCTGGGTTCGGGCAACAGAACAGTCCACACACAAAAGCTGTTGCGGAACCATGGCTGGCTGCTGAAAGATGGGCCATCATGCTGTGTGAACCCAGCTGTGTAACATGTTTGCTGGCCATGTGCAACTCATGAGGAGACGCTACAGCTGTTGGGTTGTGAGCTGTGGCTAAGAAAGCGTGATCTATTAGCACAACTGAGTTCAGACAACAGGATAGCCCATTTTCCAAAAACAACCAATAGCATGTTTTGTTGTCTGAGCCCGTGTCTCCCTCAGTCTTTAAAGATCGATCAACATTGTCTTCTTCTGGCTGCTTTGACTATTTATTGGTTTGTTCATTCATAATTATTTTCAGGATGCCTTTAAGGGTAAAACCCCATCAAAACTATGTATAAGATAAAAACCATCCCAGAACAGGCATAATAAAATTCAGTGGCTGCATATCCAAAGCAAAGATCACTGGTGACAAATAAGTGCCAAATTATAGCTGGACGGCTGCCTGGGAAGACGTCCTGGGAGGCTGGCCCCAAAGTAACTGAGTTACAAAGGATCACACCTGAGCTCTTTCAGGTATCTCCCCTTGCAAATGCGTGCCAAGATAACTCAAGCCAAGAGGCAGTGCTTCTGCAAAGGCCCCCTCACTGCACAAACGGGGAAATACAGAAACAGAGAGTCAGAAGGGACCTCCTGGGCCATCTAGCCTGACTCTCGGCTCCACTCGGATAATACCTAACATGTGGTTGTCCAGTCCTTTCTTGAATGCCCCCACTGATGTGGCCTCCACCACCTCCTGTGGAAGCCCATTCCATATCCAAGGGGTTCTAACCATCAGGAAGTATTTCCTGACATCCAACCTGAAACCTGATTCCTTGAACTTTGCCCCATTGGATCACGTCCTGTTCTCCGCTACAGGGGAGAACAGGTCCTGACTCTCCACTGTGTGATACCCCTTCACATACCTATACTGTCACTATAAGATCCCCTTGGAGTCTCTTCTTCTCCAAGCTGAAAAGTCTCTGTTTCCTCAGTCTCATTTCATATGGCATCTCCCCCAGTCTGGTTACCATCCTTGTGACCCTGTGCTCAACCGATTCTAGTCTATGTCTCTCTTATAACATGGAACCCAGAATTGGACACATTACTCCAGCTGTGGGCGCACCAGAGTTTTATAGAGCAGTACCAAAGCCTCTCTTAGTCCGGAAGGCACACTTCTGGCTATACGTCCAAGGATGTGGAGCCGAATCTTCCAGCTGCAAAGCCTTTGTCCACCATTAAATGTTTGTAGAGTCAATCAAGCTACCATTTCCAATCAAGCCCAGCCACCAGCCTAGGATGAGGCTATCCCTTACCTGGGAGAAACAGTGGCTGGGAACTCAGGCTTGCTCACACTGTTCAGCTGTGCTAGCCGATCCAGGCTGCTCTCTTTCAGGACTACCTCAGCGGTTCCTCCTGGGCAAGATTCGTCTACTTCCAAGTCCTGAGCAGATGCACAGAAAGCATTAGTGGGGGACAATGGAAGGTTGTTTGAGGTTAGAGCCTCACAAGAATGCCAAGTGACTGGTTCCCCTGACTCCCAGGTTAGCTGCCCCAATATTCAGAGAAACACCAATCCCTCACTTCAGATGAGCATGCAAAACACTTTTCCTTTCCCATACCTCCAGTGGCCAGTCTCACCTTAGGCATCCACACCTCCAAGGCCATCTCTGCAGCCTTTAGTGCCTCCTCAACTAAACAGCCAAGGGCAGCAGGAAAGTTTCTGAGTAGTGGACCAAGACTAATGAACTGGTTACAGGCAATTTATACAAAGTAACATGCAAATATTTTAATAAAAGGAGTGTTGGCTGATGGTTTTCAAATGGGAAAAGGAATATGTTGAGGAGTCCCCTATCACTGCTTCTATTTATCCTCCTCCTGAAAGTTTTAGCTACAAAAATAAAGGCCTAAAAGTAGATGGAAAAGAATATAAAATGAAAAGTTAGGTTGATAATATAGTGTTGACGAACTTAAATCCACACTTATGAATGGAATATAGAATAGATCGATTTGAAAAATGTGGGTCTTTTTCTGATTATGAGATGAAAACAAAAATTATTTTAAATATTTTGATGAAGCAAGAAGAGGAAAATACTTTTTTCTAAAATTCAGAATGTGAAATAACTTCTTATCCAGTTAAGTATTTGGGAAAAAATGTGACTGAGCAAAATAATGTGGATGAAGATTCAAAAGGATCTGCAGAGATGGTCCAAATTAAAAATGTCATTACTTAGAAGACTTGCCATAGTAAAAATGAATGTCTTCCTAAATTGCATTTTCTATTTCACATGATACCAATTTTGATACAGAAAAAACTGCAAGAATGGCATAGACAATTGAATGCCTTTATTTCGAATGGAAAAAAACCCCAAAGATTGGATTTAAAGTTTTACAAGGTGAAAAAAAAGAGGCTTAGCAGTACCCAATATTAAATTATACTATTATGCAGCTGGCCTGGTTTGGATTATAGATTGGATTAAAAATCCTGGTGAAAGATTAAGAAAATTGGAAACAGCAGCCCTGGAAATAAAATCACATAATTATTTGTGGGCTAAGGAATCAACCAAAAAATATTTAATACAAAACAAAAGTCATGTAATCAGAGAAAGTTTAATCAGAGTTTGGTTTTCTCAGGAAGAATTACTCCACCAATCTTTCTTCTGATGTCTCCAATAGAAGGATGTTTTGATAAGCATCTAAGGAAAATTAATGATTTCATGACATTTTATTTATTTAATGGGTTTATATGCTGCTACAATAGCCCATATCTGGCCTCTCTGTGTGGCTCATAATATGAACATAAATACATATATCTCATATGGAGATATGATTGGTCAACAAGTAGGAATCAAGCCGTGGCAAAAATTAACAGAGGAAGGGAAAAAGATGCAATGGATTCTGTATTAATTGGTTTTAAGACTAAAAAAAGGAAATTCTAAGGAAAAGAAATTCAAATAGGAAGATGTATTATAAACGATCCAACAGAAGTTAAAAAGTTGATTTTACAATGAAAACATTTATTAGGATGGATTTACAAATAATTATTGCAACAGGACACAGAAAATGAACAAGCTAAAATATATATGATAAAATGGATGCAGAAGAAATATCTTTCCATCAAACTTTATGGACTAAGGATATAAAATTTATGGCTAGTCAAGCATTAAGAGAAAATTGGTATGTTTGAGAAAATGGACAAGAATTATGGATTTGTGGTAGATGTGTAAAGAGGTTTAAAATTTTGGAAATTAATATGTGCTGAAATATAAAAAATAAACAATAATTTTCTTATGACTACTAAGAATATGCTATTGAGAATCATGCTGGAAATTCTCCCATGGGGGAATTGTTTAATTACATGACAACAGCAGCTACGGTCTCAATTGCAACAAAATGGAAAGTACAAGATTGCCTATCTAGCAAAGACTCGAAAAATAAACTAGCCGAATATGCAGTAACGCCAAAATTAAGCAGCTATATAAATAGAAGATTGAATGTAGAATTTAATGACAAATGAAAACCTTATTTTATTTTTTTATATAAAACAAACTATATAAATGTTATTAATGAACTATAATTTCAACATAAATACTCTGTGGCCATTTAAAACAAATGTGAAAAAATGGAAAATATGCTTGCATTAATGATTATGTACCAAATAATCAAATTAGTATAATTGTTTGGACAATTTAGTTCTCTTATCACAATATTGTTTTATTTGAGAAAAATAGGAAAAATTAATTACTAATAGTTGGTGGGTTTGTAGTGTGAATTATTTTCTTGATATTTAAGACAAAATATTCCTTTATGTAAAATTATTACTTTTACTTAAGTTACAATTGTAGTTATACATTGGACAGAAAGAATAACGATTATTGACTTTATGTAAAATTTCTGTATTTAATATTATATGTATTTGGCATTAAATTCATAAAATAAAATAAACATAATATTGAAAAAGTTCCTGAGTAGTTCTAGCTTAAGAGCCACTTTCCAATTACCGCCTTTCCTCCAGGGGTGGCACAGGTGTGGCCTGGCAGTGAGAGGGCCCTGGGCACTGCGGGTGAAAAACCAGGGCTACGACCACTGCTTTTGGAAAACCAGCCCGAAAGAAAATGCAAACACAAGGGCTACGGCAGCCTGACGTTCTCCAGATGTTTTGTGCTTCAGCTCCCAGATGACGGGAGTTGTAGGTCGAAACACTTCGAGGGCCCCCTGCCCTCGCCTCACACAAACACACAGCTGTATGTGCTGCCATGCTTCCAAACAGTGTGCTCCCAACTCACTGCCCTGCAGAGAAATGACAGCCACGCACACGCAGCCTGCCAACGCTTCTCCAGTGCCCACCATCCAGAGGAGCAGCACCGAGGGGCAGCCATACTGGCGCGTATCACCCAAGCTGCTCTAGCAGTCCTCTGCTCCACCCAGAGGAGCAAGTCTTGTGGCGCTCACAGGTCTTCACTACGCATTCGAGACCGAATCGCCCTGAAATAGTTCGTATTGCAGCAGGATACAGCATCAGAGTCAGGAAAATTCATTTGCCACAAGCTCCGGTGAGCACTGCAGCCAAGCTCTGAGGGAAGGTGGAGTTCTGAGGTCCATGAAGCAGCTGAAGCCGGCACCCCTGCTCATGAGGAAATGCTGGGCATTTGCCTGCCCCTACGCATGCTGGCTCCCCTGTGCCCCAGCATAACCCCCCAAAATGCAGGAAGAATTTCCCATGTGTCCCCAGTGATTTCATTCTTGGTGTGGGACAGGAGTGGACCGAAACAGAGCCCAGTTCTCCAAACTAGTCCTTCATTGCAGAGTTTTCCAGGACGACTCCTCACTTGAAAGGGGCACTCGTCAGGATCTCCCCATACACTAGGAGAGGATGCATTCAATAAGCTTTTCTATTTGCCTCCCGTAAACGGGTCCCCCTCTGGGTGGGGGCAGTGCACGTTGGGGATGATGAAAGGGGTAGTCCAGCACATCTGCAGGGCACAACACAATGAATCGTCTGATGCTGTGGCCTGCGTGGCCTATCAGGATGCCACTGGCACCACGCCATCTGCCGCGTTTAGTTGGCTTCCCTTTTCTGGGAGGGACGGAGGCACACCATGTTCCCTGGCTGCTGTGCTCTCAGTTTCCAAAGTTGCTCTGTGCAGCCTGTATGAGTGAGTCTGCTCAGAGACCGCAAGGAAGAAATTGCGCAGAGGAAGCATCTTCGTACTATTATCATTACTTTATATTTGTATATCGCCCAGAGCCAAAGCTCTCTGGACGGTTCCCAACCCTTAAGTCACCCATCCAGATTTCAATCAGGCAGGACCTTGCTTAGCTTCCAAGAGGAGGCAGGATCGGCACGTCAAGCTAAAGGGAAGCACAACACAGTCTGTGCTGTCTGCTGGACTCCAGACAACACAGGCCTGCACCGCACTGCCCTCGTGTGGCCTGATGTGGTGGTGTGACCCAGGCAGCGAGCCGGGCCTGAAGGCAGCACAGCCACCGGGCAGCTGTCGCAATGCTGCGCACCGGCATCCTTAGAATGGGAAGGGTCCCCTGAAATGGCCGGCTCGTTTTCCTGTGAAGACACCCCTGTGTGAAACGTGGACAGTCATCCCCATTACCATTCATCGGGGCAGAACGGGGTGAACTGGTGTGGGATGAGGCTCCTGTACCCATGGACTGCTGGGAGGGGAGGAGCCAGCATGAGAGGATGCGCCATGCCCACATGCAGTCATGCCCCAAGGCCACAGAGGAAAGCCGAGCCCAGGAAGGACCTGCTGCCAACCCGACCCAGGGTGCTCACCATAGCCATGGTTTCTATGGCAGCTTCATCCTGGGTGCGCGGGACGCCCGCTTTCCGCTTCTCTGCTGCTTCCTGGGGGTGGGGAGGGAAAGAAGACGCAGGGAAAAGAAGAGACACCGTTAGCCGCAAAGCTCCCAGATCCAGGAACGGAGCAAAGGCAGGATGATTCCAAGGGAAAGGGCGGGGAGAACAAACACCAAAATTCATTTTCCGTGCATTTGCGCAGGCTTGGGCACCAGAAGCAGGTCTGGGTGTCCCAGGAGAGGTTACACAGGGGAGAGGAACCAAGCCCCCTGACGCTGCAGGGCCCTGGACGACCCCTGCTGGGCGAGTGGGTCCAGCGGGCCTGCTCCTAACTCACCTCTCCTATACTGGGGAAGGAAGCAGCTTATCAGGAAAGAGAAAGGAAGGAGTGGGGAAATAGAGAAGGGATTGCTCCCAGCAGCACAGAGGTTGTGGAAGGGAGGAGTCCCGAGCAGAGAGGCTGGGAGGAGGAGGAGGAGGAGGAGTACCAACTCACAGGGCTGCCCGACTCTCGCTCCTGCCTCTTTTGGCCGTGCAGACTGCTGATCTCAGTCTGGGAACCAGAGTGAGAGACGCCCTCAAAGAAGCGCCTGCAGAAGAAACGGACGGACGGACGGACAGACAGACAGAGAGACGGACAGGAAGAGAAATGAGGAAGAAGTGAAGTCACCGTAACCCCTGGCTCGAATCCCTCCCCAGCTTCTTCCCTGACGGAGCACCGCAAGCGCACCAGAGCCCTGGCATCCTGGCAACACTGAAAGGACAGAGGGGGAGGGGGAGGGGGAGGGAGAGGGAGGGGCAGGCCCCAGTGAGCAGAGGCTAAATAAGTAAATAAGGTCTCAGTTGGTAACAGAGCAAGGATGCGACAGAGCAAAGCATCTCTACTTTCAGCTGGAAAAAGTCATATCCCTCCCAACCCACCCAATTCAGTCGCTTGGATATTGGAAATAAAGGTTATCATTCATGTCTCTTTTGAAAGGATGGGTGGGAAGATGAGGAAAATAAATCACAAGACATGAAGCAGCCCCTACAATCTGGTGCCCTTGCGATGTGTTGGACTGGGTCTTCCAAAGCAGGGCGGCTACCCCCTGGAGCCGAAAGAAGCATTCCTCTAAAATTGATCAGTCCATGCCAGCTGCCTTAAATGCAGCCTGGTAATGCCCCACAGAAGTGGGGCAGACAGACTCCTGCCCAGGGCAATTCCCAGGGCCTCCAGCAGCACCATCTGGAGTTGTCCAGTCCATTTTGCAGGGTCATAAATAGCCATTCCTTAAGCCATTCACAGCAAGCAACAATTCATTTTTCAGGCCATCCATGACCTGCAAAACATTTTCAAAGGAAAGGGATAGGCAAGCCTGTAAACCCGGTCGGCTAATTTGCAGAGCTGAAGGACAAGATCACCGTACCAAGGCCCTATGGCAATCTTTGTGGCCATTCAAGATAAGTGCCTTTATCGTCTGTGCATCAAATTCAATATCTCTTAGCAATTCCTCTACTCCTGTAGAACCAAATATACAGTGCCATATTCTGAGTCCTCGCGAAGGGCAGGACCTTTCCAAGCACATCCGATGGCTGAGGGTTCGTAAGGGGGGAAGAAAGGCGTTAGTCCTCCCTTGCTGTTGTCTCTGCCCCATGTTAACTATGAATGTTGAGCTTCCACTTCACAGCCAGAGGAAGGTGACAAAGATGGTTAAAGAAGCTTGAAGGAATCTGGAGAAAAGGCAATTAGAGGAAGACAGGACAGCCAGCTCCCATACTGGGTCACACACGTGATGGAGCAAGCGTGCTACTCCAAGCTGGTGCCCTCCATCCTGGACTGCAATTTCCACCCTTCCAGGCAACATGGCCACTGGTTCAGCATGCTGGGAGTTCAGTCCAAGACTTCTAGAGGGCACCGGGTTGGGGAAGGCTGCTCCACAGAACAGATTTTGAACCAACAGGTTCAAACAGTAAGAAAAGAGAATGCAGCTAAGCATTAGGAAGAACCTCCTGAAGGTACAAACTGTCCAACAGTGCCACAGACTTTCTCAGGAGGAGGCCAACTCACCTTTGTTAGAGGACTTTAACAAGAGGCTAGATGGCTACCTATCAGGGATGCTGAAGCAGATTTCCAGCATTGGCAGTGGTTGGGACCAGATGACCTCTGAAGCTTCATCCAACTCTTCTCTTTAGCCAACATGGCCAAGGGCAACAAAAGAGACCAGCCCTCCATGGATTCATCCAATGCCCCTGGAAAGCCATCTAGCCAGCAACAGATCTGGAGGGCCCTAATTACATAAACAAGCCAAAGGAAGAGGGGATTTTCTTTTGTGTGCCTCATCCAGGTTCCTGGGATGACCCCAAGTTCTCATGTCTCAAGCGAGGGGGGGGAGCCATCTCTGCTCTGCACCACGCATCCTTTCATGAAGCTCTTATATTGCATGCATCTCCTACTCATCTTTCTTCTAAACTAAAATGTCCCAAACAAGCTAGTCTGCTCTTCCCCAACCTGACACCCTCCAGGTGTGTTGAATTATAGTGCACATCATTGCCAGAGATGATGGGAGCTGTGGTTTGGCATACCTGAAGGGCAACAGGTGTGTTAGGACAGACTGCTTTAGTTCGGTGAGGAAGGTATACCAGCCCCTTGATGGCTTGGACTGCCCTTTTCACACCCTGCCCTGCTCTTACGAGACCCTATGTGAGAGTTGGGAGAGCTCCAGGATCAGAAAGGATGAAGAATGAAATGTGGAGACAGGTGCATGCACACACAGACACCCCCATCTGAACATGGGCACCAGGGGAGGAGGGCTGGTGTCGCTCCTCTTGCAGGCTCTGAAATACGATGGAAGCATATCCCTCCCTCCCCCCTCCCTCCCCTGGGTGCAGGCAAGAGGGCTGCTTCCGAAGGAGCCAAGGATGCGGCAGTAACACCCTCCCTCAGTTGCTGCAGGGGTTCCTGCCGCTCCATCAATCCTCATGGGTCTCTTGCAAGACTTACTACTAGCTTGTCAAATCCAAGGCCAGCTCCTATCACCCAGTTACTTTATGACTCCAGGCCTCCCTTTCCCCAGCGTATGCATCAAAAGGGCAGAAGCCCTGTTCCAGGCAGCAGCAGTTCACATCCTGATGTCTGGGTGCCAGCAAAGAGCCTGGAGACACCATGGGAGAAACCAAGGCCTTATCTGAGAATAAGCCTCACTGGAATCAACAGCATGTAGTACTCAGTAGGCATGCACAGAATGGCACAGCGAGAACCCTGCTTTTAGCGCAGGGACTGGATGGGGGAGTGCTTTAGCTCTGGGGTAGCAGGCCTTTCAAAGAGCAGAGGGAGCCACTGCAGTGCACAGAATCCTTGTTGCCATGGCCCCTGAGCCTGACCTTCTCCTGCCAGGCCTCACCTCAGGGTAGGCTTTGGAGTGCTGTGGACACTTTCGTTGTCCTCCATCTCGGGGCCGCTGTCACTGTTGTTGCATTCCTCCAGGCTGTCATAAAGCAGGCCCAAATCCTCCTCCACCTCTTGCGTCTGATCCACTGGGTCAGAATCCAAAACCTGCAACACCCAAACCGAAGAGGAAGAAAAACACAAATACTGCAATCTCATTTAATTGATGTATGCATTTATTTCACCATTTAGAATTGTGGTGCTGGAGGTGACTCCTGCGAGTCCCTTGGACTGCAAGGCGATCAAACCAGTCAGTCCGAGAGGAGATCAACCCTGACTGCTCTTTAGAAGGCCAGATCTGAAGATGAAACTCAAATACTTTGGCCACCTAATAAGAAGGAAGGACTCCCTGGAGAAGAGCCTAATGCTGGGAACAATAGATGGCAAAAGAAGGAGGGGACAGCAGAGGATGAGGTGGCTAGATGGAGTCACTGAAGCAGTTGGTGTGAGCTTGGGTGGACTCTGGGGGATGGTGGAGGACAGGAAGGCCTGGAGGAGTGTTGTCCATGGGGTCACGATGGGTCGGACATGACTTTGTGACTAACAACAACAACATCATTTATTTTTGTGCAAGTTCAAATTAAAAAAAACACACACACAGAGCCCTAACCATGAAACCAAACAAAGAGCTGCAGAAAACAAAATCAGAAAAACCAAGTTGACAATTACTAACAACCATGCTTTCACAGTAACACTCCTCCATTCTTTGGAAGTGGCAATGAGCAACCCAAGAAACTGGTCTGAAAGAAGACACCAAGCCACCACTAACCAAAGTGCCACTTCAGGGCAGGGGACACCACATGGCCTGGCAGGGGATCCGTGTGATGTGAAATCCCTTTTCTGAAGCTAGGAAAGGTTAATGTGGCAGAATGGTGGAACCCTTCCACCTAAGCAACTCAACCTAGCCAGAGCTCGTGCTCACCTTTTCCCACCGCCTGGGACTTTTCTACCCAAGGTGTTTATTGGGCTGTTAGTTGCTATGCTTGCTTTCTTTAGAGCACTGAGACCTGAGCTCTAAACTGAGTTCCTCCTTTCCAGCTTTTCTGCTACACGACCTCTAGGCTGAGCTGCAAACAATATTGCAGGAGGCAATACTTTCCCCAGTTGTAATTTCTTAGCTCATTTTCCCTGTCCTAAAAGAAACTGGGAAAGTGCTCTAAAAAAACAGAAGCTAAATGGAAGACCACACCATCATCTGCAGGCCCTGTAAACACCTCTGAGTAAGGAATCATGCGTGCATAATAAATGCCTCAGGTAGAAATTCTCCAACAACATTAAATCAGACCAAGCTGCTTGACCTGAAGTCAGTGTTTCTTTCAATACAAGCAGGGAATAAAGGAAAGCCTTTCTAAAAAGATCTCATCACATTCCTCCTTGCAATCCAGAACTGCTTCACAAAATTTGGCTGTTGATATTATCTGAAAAATTAATGCATCCGTGCAGACTAGCAAAAGGTACAGCTAAATGAGATTCTTTCTTTGAAATGCACTCTCCCTTCATCTCTTACATCAACAAAGAGGTGCTCTGAGCCATCTTCCATCATTTATTTGGAAAGATATTATTTACCTGACTTAGGGCAATAATCATGTTGCGATTGGCCTTGTAATTCTTTTGGGCTAGTTAGATGCTCTCTTGCCCCTGTTTGATTTTGCTAGTAGTTTTGTTGTGTGCAGCACTTTTAAAAAGATTCCAATGACTAGATTATGTACTGGGTACTTGATTAGACTAAAAAATGTCCATGTGAGGTGCTATGGGAAGACCAACCGCTATGAGTGCAGCTTTTCCCTGCAGAAACAAACAGTTCATCTCCAAGCCATGTTTTTGTTTTCAACATGTCTTCTAGAAAGTAGAGCACCTTATGAAAAATACTGCCAATCTTCTTTCCTCATTATCGTTTTTAACGCTCGCCCTTAAGAAATGATTTTCCTTTACATTTCTAAGGCAGAATTATGTCATGTTAAAAGCAAGTGAGCTTCCAGCAGCGATGACACAAATTTAGACTTGGGTTCAAATGCTTGCTCAGCCATCTCTCTCTCTCTCTCTTTCATGTCAAGGAACAACTATGACCTAAATTGGAAGGCTCTTTTGTGGATCATTTTATGTATGTATTATTACATTCATATCCCACTTTTTTCCTTCTTCCAGGGGACCAAGGCAGTTTAGATAGTTCTCCTCCTGTCCATTTATCCTCCTAACATCCCTGAAAGTCATCAACTGGCCCAAAGACACCCAGAGAGCTTCATGGCCAAGTGGAGAATAGAACCCACATCTCATGAATCCCAGTCCAGTACTCTAACCACTAGGCTACACTGGGCCTCAACAAGGTGTCGAAGGCTTTCCATCTAACGTTTTGCATAGGTATGTAGGAAACTGCCTTCAACCAGGCCAGACTCTGTCGATGCCTCTGCAGTAGGCATTCCTCACATGGTCTGAAAAGGGGGAAGGAAGAAGCACAGAAGTGCTGCAGCAGCAGGAAGGAACACAGTGAATGAAAGGACCTGACTGGCTGGGGCAATGCTGCAGGTGGGACGGCACAGTGGTGGAGCAACCCAAATGCAGTTGCCTGGCCAGCAAAAGCCTTGCTGCTCCTTCGAGCACTGACCCAAAGCAGCAAGGATGTTTTCCTGCTTGCACAAGCTCCCACGGGAGGGGAGGCAGGAGGGCCAGGGGAGAGCGGGGATTCCTCCTGCTAAGACAAGACTTCAGGGTGAAATGAGAGGTGGAGGAGCAGAAAGGCTTCCCTGGGACAGTATGAGTGTTCCTGGGGGCACTCTGGACAAGAGCAGACCAACAGTGAACAAGCTGTTGATGTAGCAAAGCAACTGCCTGCCCTTCCATGCTACAAGGCTCCAGGGATACATGCTAGGACTGGGCATGGGATGTGGGGGAAATGCACGAGCTGCAGAAACAAGCGACGCAGGGTTCCATTGTCTGGTTGTGGCTTGGCCATGAACATCCCAGTAGATTTCAAATACCTTGGCTCAGTCATCAATTCAAAGGGAGAATGCAGCCAAGAAATTCAAAAGATGGCTGAGACTTGGAAGAGCGAAATGAACGAACTAGAAAAGATCATTGAGTATAAGGATGTTTTACTGGAGACCAAAGCCAGTATCAGCCATCTGACAGTATCCTTAATCAGTGGGTATGGGTGTGAAAACTGACAAGAAGAAAATCAATGAGTTCAAAACTTATGGTGCTGGAGGAGAGCTTTCCGGATACTCTGGACTCACAGAGAGACATTCAAGTGGGGCCTAGTTCAAATCAAGCAGAGCTTTCCCTGGAAACAAAAATTACAAAACTGAGGCTGTCATATGTTGGAGGGAGGGAGGGAGGGTGCATATATGAAGTCCTAAACCCTGCAGCTGCGTGCATCCTCCAAGGCCAACATGTTTGGGCACTCCTTTAATGTTATATTAATCTACATGCAGATTAAGATTTCTGATAGTCAAGAACTTTCTTCACAGAGGTATTGCTCTACCAGTATCGGTGAAACTGGTCTTGCTTGAGTCCACTTGAAGTGTCCCAAACTGTAAGATTAAGCAGCCTTAAGCAATAATCAAAAGAGGGAATCGTGAGCAGTCCAATGATTTCTGGGGGAACTCTCCACCACTCCCCTGACATGGAGAATTCTACGACCCTGCCTACGGATGCCCTGAAATGGCATTTGACAGCCCTTCCTGGAGCTGCCAATCAACTCTGTGTAATCAAAGAGCTGAAAATCGGCCTGGAGGGGCCCCGGAGCTTGCTGGCAATGTCTGCTGCTCAATGTGGAAACCCTCCAGGGTGACATTTCAATGACCTGGAGCCAACAGAGGAACCAAGACCAAAAAGGTAATGAATAATATTCAGAAGTTTTAGGCAGAAAATCTGAAGGTGGCATTGAAAGAACATGTGAATGGCATTTGCAGATATTAGTAATGAGGAAAGCAGTGAGTGCTAAATGAGGACAGAAAAAATAATTAAATGAGAAGCTAGCAAAAACATTTTCAAAGGGCAGGAAATAACAAGCATCAGTACTGTGTGAGAGGAGGAGGAGGAGGAGGAGGAGGGAGAATTAACCTACTTCTCAGACATGAGGAGCAGAGTGGGGTGGGAGAGACTTGAGACACAAAGGTCTGGTCCATATACACCATTAACCCATGGTTTATTTACCCCAGACTCATGGTAAATCCATGGTTTGTTGCCAGACCCAGGGTTTGTGGTTGAGATAATAAGCTATGGTTTGTTATTTAAATCCCAGGATTGTTTGTCTTCTTCCTCTTTTGCCTGCTCTCTCCCTATATTCCTATATATTTGCACTGCTGTACTCCTGGTGTGTAGATGGACTGGGGGTTTTGTTGCTCTTGCTTCTATTACCTAGTGAAACCATCAAAAGCACAGCCGCAGTTGTACATTCACATACAGCAACAATGCATGGTTTAAACAGAGTCCATAAGCCAACTTCCTTAGGTTGACAGAAGATTTTGAAGAATTTAGAAGTACAGTGGACCTATGGAAAGCTACAAAGTACCAACACTGGATGGAATGAATGGAGGAGTTAGCTGCTGGGTCTGATGAAAGTTGGGAAGTTTGGAAATTGTTGCATAGGCAGTGTATGGGTACACAAAATCCAGAGTTGCTCCGAACAAATGGGTTTTTTCAGTGACTTCTGCCCTTTGTGATTGTGGTGATATGCAGGCAAGAACACATATGCACACCTCCCCTTTGTGCTCAGATGGGTGCACACCTGCGGATCTTATGGCAGCACGACAGAATGAAGTTAATTTTGCAAGCTTCTGGGCTAGATATGCTTAACTTATACGTGTTCAAATCTTATATTTTACATTTTAAATTTCTTGTTTTATAATAAGTTTTACTCTGTTTTATAACATGCTTTATTTAAATTGTGATGCTTCTGACATGAATAAAGAAAAGCCAGCAACATATCATGGGCTGTCACTGACCTAATTCATACAACACATTAAGCCAAAGTACAAGCTGAGTATGGGCTGAGTGTGGGTTGTTCGTGAACCTTGGGTTGTTGCAGAATCATGGGTTGGCATGCTGTATGAACCCAGCTACCTAATAAAACTTGATTAATCACAAACAACCCACTGTCTACAACCCAGCAACAAACCATCAGTGCTCTTTGTGGGTTGTTTGTGATGGTTTGTTCAAGTGGTTGTAGTCGTGCATTACAACAACTCCCTATCATTGGTTTATCTTATGTGTGTATAAGCTGCTTATCTTAGCTGTGAATAATGAAAGTAGTTTCACACCAATTGCTGCTGGCTTCCATTTCCCATTGGCCCCAGCCAACATGGCCGATCTTCAGAAATGATGGCAGCTGTAGTATAACACCATCTGATGGGCCAGAGGTTTTCCTCAGCCCTGACCTATTGTGACTGGTTGAAGAGTACACCCCACGTATTCAAAGCAGTGGTCTGCCCACTGGGCTACAACCCCGTCTAACACAGAATATAACACACAGATCTCTTTTACTAGTTTCAAGAACATTTGCTGTATCCCGTGCCAACCCTGTGAGAATGACAACACCTGGAAGTTCACAGCATCCCCCAGCTGGTCACAGAGAGCCAGCCGGTTGTCCCAGATACATTGCATGGATTGTTTCTGCACAAAGGGATGTGGTGGGCAGAGAGGAAACACTCGTTCACAACAGACAGGGACAGGCTCCTACGTTCTTACCTCATCTGACACTTTAAACCTCTTCAGCAAGGCAACGAATTTCTGCTTGAAGTTCGGTTGCTAAAATGAAAAGGAGGTGGAGGAGTGGGGAAAGAAACATTCAGTGATCACGGCAGAGATGTCAGCGTTGCCATAGCCATGAACACACCCTGCAAGAGTCTGGGGCCCAGGACCTTTGGAAAACCCATGGAAAAGCCAAAGCACCCTTCAGCAGTTCAGCTCCCGATTTGGGAGGAGGTGGTCTTGCCCTGAGGGCTGACTCAGCACCCACTGATCCTTGGGCCTCCTTGTGACAAAGACGTGGCTGGCCCCGGCCCACCCAAGCTCACATCTGCTGCTTAGCTCCCAGCTGGAACAGCCTCTTGGGCAGCCCACTTAAAGAGCACAAGCCCTCAGGCCACCAGCTTACCAGCTGCAGTGGGGGTGGGTCTGGACAAGGGGGAAAGACAGCAGCCACGGCGGGCATAAGGACCCTGACAAATGCCCCAGTATTCCTGGGGTCAGTGCTGCGTCCGCTCCTCAGCTGCAGACCTCTTCACCCATTGTTCACAACAACCTACACAGAAGCTTCTAATGCCATTTATGTCAAAACACATCCCAAGGTTCTTACGTGGAAGCCCCCCCCCCCCCGCCCCCAATTGTCCTGTGCTGCCTGTCCATACTAGGTTTTCTCTGGCTAGTCGGAGGAAGGATGACGAGGGCAGAAGATGCAACCACTTGATAAATAGGGCAGATCAGTAGCAGCACTCTGGTTGCTGAACAGAACGCAGAGATGCTATTTGTCCAGAGGATTCACAGTCCACATGGCCAGAGTACAGATGTGTGTGTGTGTGCGCGCGCGCGCGTGTGCGCAAATGCATGTGTATATCAAGACCCGTTATTATTTATTTACAATATTTTTACCATGTCCTTAACAAATGTCTCAGGATGGCTACCCCCTCAGCTGCGACAACATGGCCAATCTCCTAGCAAGCCATCCTTATAGTCACAGCTAACAGCAGCATGTCCATGGGGCAGCTGATTGTGCCTGTTCCTCTGAGGCAGCCCTGCCCCTAACCAGACTCGTGGGGGCAACTTTGTAGGTAGCGGGGGAACAGCGAGCAGGAAACCGAGGGAACCAAAGCATGGCTGAAGCACTTGGCAGCAGGAGGGCCCACACTCGGAGGACTGAGCTGTCTATTTTCACTGGACAGCAAGGGTCATCTTCTAGCAACCCTCCCTGTGCTTCCATCTGAAACTCTTCTTAGCCCTAGCCATCATAACCAATGCTGAGGGATCATGGGAACTGTGGGCCACAACATCTGGAGGCTCCTGTTTCTGGTACACCTGTGTGGAACATAGTGACGTAGCACATTTGCTTACTGTGCACATTTATCTTGCCTCTTGGGAGAGAGGCTAAAGAGGCCATTCTAGGCCTTCCCTTGGCTACTGTGAGGAGGGTACATCAGGGCCATGTGGCAAGAACACCAAGGGGCTCGCCTGCTAGGCAGCCCCACCAGAGACGAAGCTCTATTTCCTAGGGTCCCACCTGCTGCAGAAAGCAGGACACACAATGACCTGGCTCATACAGTCGCTGCATATTAAACAAGATGAAGGCAGTCTGCTTCCCTAGACATACCTTGTTGTGCCGTCTGAACCCAGGCAGCATGCCTTGCTGGAGGGAGAAGCAACCCCAAATGGGCCACGAACTGTTGTCCAGGAAGTTATGCCACCTGGCATCAGATGACACAAGCCATGCCAAGGTGGGGGACTGGGCAAATGGCTCCCAGCACACGTGCGTTTGACCCCTGTGGCTGTGCAAAAGAATCCGCTCTGCTGGGTACATAAGAAGCTCAGTCCCCAGCAACCTCCCCTTTGGAAAGACAAGGAATGGTGCCTTTACTCTGGTCATTGATGTAGTCCTGATAATTTTCCGCCTGGCTTTCTTCGGCTTCCTCACTTCATCCTCTTCATCATATAAATCCTGAACAGCGAAGAGATGGCAGCACATGATCAGAAGACACCAGCATCCTTGGCCAGAGGGTTCCTTATTCATTCTAAAGGTTCTGAGAGCTTATCTGAGGGTTCTCGGTGAAACGATCCATAATGGCGAACAAGAGGCAGGGCAGCCTGGGCATTTGAGTTTGTCCATGCAGGGAAGACAGCCCACTCCTCCAGGGGCAGGCAAATCCCAATTCCCCCTGGCCCAGACCCTTGCTGCTATCTCCAGTCTAAGGCTGGAAACTGCAGTGGAGAAGCAGGGTGGCCGAGGCGCCTTTCTTCAGGCTAGGAGCAGACACAGTTTTGTGCCTCCTTCCAGTGTGGCAAAAAAGGAGGGAGTGATGTCAGGGAGATCCAGGCCACAGTGGGCATCAAGCTGGCCCTCTAACACGAAACAGTTCTACAACTCCAAATTTAGTGACTAAAAATGAGCAGCAGCTAATAAGTCCCGCTCCTGCCCCTAAAGTGGGTTGCTGATGAAGAATGCTCGGAAGGAAAGCCTTGAATTTTTGGGTGAAAGTGCTTGTGAACTCAGTTCTGCTACTGATCACAAACGCCTGCACTGCGCATGTGTTCTGCCTGCCTAAGCCATTCTTTTGCACCTGCTCCAGTTAGCTAGTCCCAGCATTTGGGTAAATGATGAAGTTGTTCCTATAGGCCCAAAGTCTTCCATCCCTCCCTATCTCGGGATGAGATACAAAGGTAGAAGTGGCTGGTGACTCGTGCCAGTGGGGCAATATATCCCCTCCAGGTTTCAAGGCAATATCCACAGTGCTGAGCCATTTTGGGGATAAGGGATCAGCACCATGAACAGCTCTTAACATTCAGACTAAAGCCTGGAGAGGTCACATCACCCAATGATGTTGGAGGTACCAGCCTCCATTGCAAAGGGAGAGAGAGGAGATAGGCAGGTACCTGGCCTTGCACTGCATCGTCACTCGCTTCTTGCTCAGAGGAGAAGCTATCGTCCTCTTCTTCTGAGTAGTTATCAATATCTGGAGAGCGATCTGGAATGAGAAGTGGCAGAGACCTTGACCAAACTGCCCTGTACCAGTAAGAGCAGGGAAGGGTAAAGGAGGAGGGGAATGCACGGAAGTACTTCAGTTGGGCAGCAAGCTTTGACACGGAGTCCTAGATGCTTGTTGTTGACAGCTAAGAGCTGTGGCAAGGATTCCGGGCAAGAAGGAGGCATAAGCAGCATCACAGGAGCAGAGGTCATGTTAGGTAACAAACTCTGGATTGACTGGGGAGAGGGAGAAGAAAACTACTGCAGGGCAAACAGTCACTGTGGAAAAAGTGACAGGGACCTGATCAAAGGGTTTTATAGGCCTTTTTATGGGTTTTAAAACAGAAAGGAAAGAGAACTTCAATTCAGCCCTGCCAGACAGAGTTTTAGAAGCACTTTCACAAATTTGACTCCTGGCACTACCAACCAGAAGCTCTTGTGTGCTGCTCCATCTTTTTATCCTAAACTGATTTTCCACAATTCAAAAAAGACAGATGACCTGAAGGAGTGGCAGACAGAGACACTCAGTCCTTCTGGAAGATTCCACGAATGTGGCAGTGCAATGGTGTGCCAAGACGTCACCTGGAAGTACCCTCAGCCAAAGACAATGATTACCAGAAGCTTTGATCTTGGGACCAGAGGGAACGTTTCCATCTTCATGGTCGATGGGTTGGCTTGAGAGTGAGTAGATGCTGATTTCGGCCACCCGGATGCTCACATCCTTGCTGTTGCTGTGCAAGCCCAGCAGCTGACCTCCATCTGTTGGGTGCTGCATGACCTGGGCAAGGGAGAGACGAACCTTAGTACTGGCTGCCTCTGGAGCAGAGGAACACCAGAAGCTGCCTCCTATTGAACAGAGCCGTGGTCCATGCAGCCCAGGATGGTCGCCGCTGAAGGGCAGCAGCAGCAGCAGCAGCCCTCCTGCGTTTCAGGTGGGATCCTCTCCCAGCCCTGCCTGGGGACTGAAACGGTGATATTCCACATGCAAAGCAGATGCCCCACCACTGAGCCATCAGTGCCTTCCCATGCAACACTTCTGGGAAGGTATCCTGGTGCCAGAACAAGACCCCACACAAGCACCTCCACATCCTCATTCAACTCTAATGTGCCCACATTACACTCCACCTTGCTATTTCCTTACCTCAGCCATGTTAATGATGCCCACTGCCAGAGTCTTGTAGCCCAAAATAGTGCGGTTCTTGTACCTCTTTCTGCGTTGGAGCATGATTTGAAGTTTGTTACCATCTCTTTTCAGGAAATGTGGGTACTAGAGAAGAACAAAGAGAAGGATCCCAATATTACCCTATTTCTGAGATACCCAGAGAACCTGAGAAGAAAGAAGCTTGACTTTTCAAATGCAGCTTGTGTGTTGTTCTTCTTGCTTCTCCTCAACATCAGGACAAGCTGTTTGCTCATACCAACTCCTCATGCACCGCGGATTTGAAATACTCTTTACGCTACAATTCTCACTAAGTATAGTTAGGGCTTAGAAACATGCCGTCAGAATACCCATCTTATCCTACTTGTAGAAAGCAAAAACTTTTAATAGAATTGTAGGTAATTCCTAGAGCCGTTATTCCTAAATGTGTTGTCTAGTCTGAAAATTGAAGATACAGGAAAGGATATTAACCACCCTGCTAAGGGAAGAATCTTTGCCTTCTGGCCAAACTACCTGCAATGAAAACGTCAGTTCCAGGTCAGTCTCCATCAAGCCTCCAGGGGGTAAAACGTATTCATTGGATCTCAGGACTCTCTTTGAACCCTGTAACAAAAACCAGGAATTGGTTGTAAGAGTCAAACCATCACATCATAACTCCAGCTGACTGAGCTTCGGTCATCACAAGCAGCCAAACGAAGGAACAGCAGCAACTTCCTAATAAATTGATGTCTGAGGGTAAACCCACAGGGTAAAGTCCATCCTAGATAACTAAAAGATTTCCAGAGACATCAAAACTGAAAGAAAGAGGATGCAAGAAAGGATGGAAAATATAACACTGAAAGGCAACTGAAAGGTAGCTTCTGTATAGTCTGAATCTGCCTAATCTTGGAAGCTAAGCAGGGTTAGACCTGGATGAAATCTGGATGGGTGACCTAAAATGTTATGAACTACCCAGGGAGCTTTGGCTACAGGTGGTATAGAAATGTAATGCAAAAACTATAACAAAACAGTAACAACTGGGTAGAAGCGTGATTTCTCTGAGGGTGCTTTTGAATTTCTGCAATCGCCCTGCCTGACCTGTGGAATTTTATGAGGTGCCCAGATGACAGAATTTTCAGCTTGTCACCACGACTTCCTCCAACTTCTTGCCCCCCATCCCACCTTCCCACCCTCAAGACTCAGTTAAAGAAGAAAAGATGGGATAGCTTACACAGCATCTTTTGACTGGCAGTGCTAGGAGCCTGCCATCTGGAAGCAGCTCTAATGCATAACCACAGGAAGCAAAATTCACAATAATGTGTTCTCAAGGGGAAGGAAGGAAGGAAACTACAGGAGGTCTGCATTTTTACTATGAAACTTCTAGTTTACATTCATATCATATTGTTTAACAGTTCATAAATGTATACAAAAGCCAACAATGCAAAAGCATGTTTTCTACACACACACACACACACACACACACACCAGCAAGACTTAATTTGAGCCAAAGACATGAGTCAGCTTGGTTCAGTTGCCCACCTTGTATTAGACCAGGGAATAACCACAACATGCTCACACACAATCCTTGCTTGGCCTATTGAATTTTAAACATGACAAGGCAAAAAGATGGCTCACAGATTCCCTTGTAAGCAATGTTAAGAATAGAAGATATTCCAAAATAGATAATATGCATCGATTAGTCCTGTATCTGTGCCTGTGCATCATGAATTGGGAAACCCTCACTACTCTAGTTAGATCAACTTTGTTATGGCACCTGAAGGCTCAAGAGGTTGTACATTAAAGTACACATTACCTGGATGAATGCCTGCATCCTTGCCCCCAGAAGTTAGCCATACCCAACTGAACACTCCGTGTGTGTGCGAGCACGTGTGCGCATGCATGCAATATTTCACAGGACTGGGATAATTACGAAGGATGAATGCCTGAGCAAACTTTAATAAAAATATAGGCTTTACTGACATTTGCAATTACCTGGGGTCTAAAAGTATCAACAACCACCTGGGTATCTAAGAGAAAATTGTGAAGTAAACATCCAAAGGGCTTTTGGAAGCAATTGAAACACAAGATCTTGGGAGGTGCAGCATTAGAATGAAAATGACCCCAACAGAATAATTGCTGGTATCCCACATAAATCTATAGTTTGCCTTGAATTTAAAAAAATGACAGAACACTGCTTGCTGCTACCTATAGTCCCAGCTAAAATCACTTCCCTGTTTAGCTCAATAATTGGTAGCCCATTTTAGACAATGACCCTTCCTTCCTTGGGGCTGCTTACAGGGCGTCTTTTAGCATAAGGCAAGCTACTCTGGCTCGCTTGTGACACAGGCCAGCTAATAGAGAGACACATACAGGCAGCAGGTCCAGCCACAAACCCAAATGGCAGCTTGGTCTCTGTAGCTTATTTTAGCTGCCCTTTTCTGCCCTTTTCCAGCTTTACAATATCCTTTTCAGGTACAGTGACCAGAACACTGTGTTTTACATGTAGTTATATAACAGATAAAGGCAGTATGAGAAAGGAAGGTTAACTTTTGATTCCTCTCCTGATTATTCCTTAACACTGAATTTGTTTTATTCCCCCAGCAGCTATACACTCAGTCCAGATGTCCCCCACAACCCAAAAATCTTTTTTTTTTTTTTTTTGGCCAATCACTGCTAATTCAGATCTCATCATCACGTATGTGAAGTTGGGATTTTTTTGCCCTCCCTGCTTTTCCTCACAGCATGTTTGTCAGGCGGGAGAGGGCCTAAAAATAGCAAGGCCATGTTGCTTTGCTAATCGCTACCTGAAAGCCCCCAGCAGGCAATGCCTAGTCAAAACACAGCTCATGTCTCTAGTAGGGAGATGACTCGTTGCTTGGAAACTGAGGGGCAAGCTGATGGTTTTTGGAAAGGGGAAGAAGAAATAGATTGAAAACTGAGAGAGGGCTGGGGGCTGGGCATCCTTCTGGGAAAAACAGGGCCTGCTTGCTTTCTGAGAAAGCTATTTGTCCCTTATGGTTTATGTCAGTGGGGTTGAAATAGAGAGCAAAGGGCATCAGGGCTACAGTGTGATCCATGGTTTCCTTTTTATTTATTATTTATTGATACTATTTATTATTATTTGCATATTCTGATACAATAAAAGTATAAGCAATTATGTGATAAAGCAACACCAAAAACGTACAATAAAAGGTGCAAACCTATGCACAATCACACAGAAAAAAATCCAATGGTTCCTAGTGTTCCCCAGCCAGCCCCTGCAAACTGTAGGCATTTTTTCTGAATAAACATTTACAGAATTGCATCCTAAGTGAAGGAAAAAAAGACTCACAAATGTAACTCCATAAAGATGGTTCGTTCTGACTAAAGATCCAGCTTCCCCCTCTGTGTTTTGGGCTACTGATAAATCTCCATTCAGATAAGGTCCTAATTCACAGTCCTGTCCAGATACATCCCACTGTCCCAGTGCTCTCTGTTAAATGCAGATTGGTAGTGATTAGGGTTTTCTGGAAATTTTAATTGGAATAAATTTCTATGTAAGCTAATTAGCATAGGAAATTAGCATAGGAAAACAGTCAGTTTGTAGTGGAAATTTTCTGATGCCCTAAAGAGTGGCTGAATTCACCAAATTTATTTTGCTTGTGTTTAGTAAACAAAACAAAAAGTATCCCATGTTAATTTTTCTTCCAATACACATATTTGATCTGAAATATTAGAAGAAAAAAATGAAAGTATACTGAAAGTGATTTCAATGTTACATTACATATGCATTTTATTGCACTACTTCTAATTTTTTAATAATAGCAAGCACATTATTTACATTTAAGAAAAAAGGAACTTAAAGTGCTGGTGCAGCAATAGAGTTTAGATTTCAAAGAACAGTGCATGAGACACACTTTACCACATGAATAGCATTTGACTCTCCTCTACTGAGGTTGCTGGAGTATCTTCAGTTTTGGTGACACTACCTACTCATCATATTTCACACTGGGACATATATGTATTTCACTGACATATGTGTAAACTCTCAATTGCCTGGAAAATATTCACACTGCCAAGCTCGGGTAGCACCATTTGCAATCGGGATCTATTGCTGTAATCTTTTCCAGCATATTTGCCACCAAACCCTGTAGCACATCATCAAAAGGCAGAAAAGTGCAACTGTTGTGTTCAGAGGTAAAAGTGGAGTTTAACTAGCTGTGCAAACAGGAAACTTGTGCCTGTTCATCCCTTGGAATATACCACCACCAGTCAAATGAAACACAAGATGGCTTTTTGCATTGCTTGCAGAAGGAAGGTACAATATAAGCCTAATGCACCAGCACGGGGCTCCTTTAAGGGTATTTACAAGGATGCAACTAAGTGTTACCTGCCTGAATATGAAGGTGCAGACAAGGAAGTTTGGCAAAAAGAAATTGCCTGAATATGGTTTGGGCAATTTGCTTTAATGTATTCTCCCTTATGTAATTTGTGTTAAATGCTGTCCCTGACACTGCCTGTTGGTTTATTTTATTTATTTATTTATTAAAACATTTATTAAAACATGGTTCAGCCCTTAATAAAAACATAAACATAACCACGTCCAATTTCATCCCATTTTTCCAAATGCAGTCTTAAAAAAACCCACTGGTGACTCTGACTGGTACACAATTTATGGGCTGAGTGAAAGAACAAAACATGCTCATTGGACTTACAGTGTAGAACTGAAGTCCTTTTATTTGGAGTTGCTACAATGTTGGAGAACTAGGAGGAATTTCAATTCCAGAGGCTGTTCTTCAGAATAACTTGTTCTGCTGTGCAGTCTCGAAGGCTTTGTGGCAGAGCTTTCTCCAAACTGTGCTGTATATAACCCCTGGTAGGCAGCCCAGTATACTCCAGATGTTTTGAACAATGACTTCTGTAATCCCTGGCCACTGGTCATGATGCCTGGATCTGATGGGCACTCTAGCCCAAAACATCTGGAGGATGTCAGGTTGTCTATCCTTGGCTTAGATACTTCTTTGCTCGCCAAGCCACTGTCCAGAAACTGTCATTTTATTTATTTATGCACTCTATTGAACCACAGAGGGATCCTCCATGCTGCAGAGGAGTTCCTTTTATTGTTAGCAAGACGCTAAGGGAAGAGAAACCATCAGACCAAATTATCTACCCACTTCTCCCTATTAAGCCACATGGTATTAGCTTGACTCGGGGGGGAAATATTGCACAGATCTCTTTAATAAAGAGGTTCTGTTTCTAGCAGGATTACCTTCAGCTCGACTCAACTTGGGAGGGAATGGGAAAAGGATTAATATATGCAGGGCTTTGGTTTGGTTTCAGCAGCTCTCACACATGCTCGTCAGGACTCCAAGACATTATGCTGGTAATGCCCTTTTAATTGGTTTTTGAAAGAATATTAAATCCAGCGGGTGTTATCAAAGAGGGTCCCTGAAAGGCACAGACGCCTTCGGAAGTCATCGCATGTGAGAAAGAAGAATCTTTGCAAGCCGCCACAATTGTTAGGGGTTGGATGACTATGTGCACAACCTGTGTGCATGCAGAGTCTGGCTTCCATGTGCTGCTAGTTCTTGATTTTTTTAAATAAACATTTTATTCACATCAACAGGAAACCAAGTAAGCAACCA